GCCACTTCTTCTAGCCTCCATAGTTTTTAAAAAATATTTATTTATTTATGTACTTGGCTGTGCCAGGTCTTAGTTGTGGCAGGTGGGATCTTTGTTGCCACGTGCAGGATCTTCACTGCAGCATGCAGACTCTTAGTTGCGGCATGTGAACTCTTAGTTGTGGCATGCATGTGGGATCTAGTTCCCTGACCAGGGATTGAACCTGGGCCCCTTGCATTGGGAGCGTGGAGTCTTAACCACTGGACCACCAGGGAAGTTCCATAGCCTCCATAGTTTTTGATGAGACAGATTGTTTTCCCCTATAAATAAGGTGTCATTTTTCTCTGGCTGCTCCGAGAGTTTTTCTTTCTCTTTAGTTTTCAGAAGTTAAATTTTGGTGTATCTGGACTTCCCTGGTGGTGCAGTGGGTACGATCTGCCTGCCAATGCAGGGGACATGGGTTCAGTCCCTGGTCCGGGAAGATCCCATGTGCCGCGGAGCAGCTAAACCCATGCACCACAACTGCTGAGCCTGCGCTTTAGAGCCCATGAGCCACAACTGCTGAGCCCAGGTGCTGCAACTACTGAAGCCCGCATGCCTAGAGCCTGTGCTCTGCAATGAGAAGCCCATGCACAGCAACAAAGAGTAGCCCCCGCTTGCCGCAACTAGAGAAAGCATGTGCGCAGCAACAAAGACCAGCACAGCCAAAAAAAAAATTTTTTTATTTGGTATATCTTGGCATGGATTTCTTTGAGTTTATCCTGTTAGTGGTTTGCTCAGCTTTTTGATCTGTAGGTTTATGTCTCTTGCCAAATTTGGAGTACCTTTGAGTACCTTCTCAGCCTTGCTCTTTTCTTCTCTCTTCCTGGGACTCTGATAATATGAATGTTAGATCTTGTTTTATAGTCCCACAGGTCTCTGAGGCTCTGTTCATTTTATTTCCAGTCTGTTTTCTCTCTGATGTTCAGGTTGGGTTATTTCTGTAGTTCTATCTCTTCCAGTTCATAGATTCTTTCCTCTGTCCCGTCAATTGTGCTGTTGAGTTCAGCCACTGAGCTTTTAATTTCAGTTACTGTATTTCTCCATTCAAAAATTTCCCTTTGGTTATTACCTTCTATTTCTTTCTTTCCTTCTCTGTCTACCCGCCCCCACTTTTTTTTTTCCCCACTGAAGCTTTATATTTTCTTTCATTTGTTTCAAGTGTGTTTGTGTTTGTTGAAGCATTTTTTATCATGACTGTTGTAAAAATCTTTTTCAGAAAATTCTGTCGTCACTGTCATCTCATTGTTTGCATTTACTGATTATTTCTTCTAATCAATTTTAATCTTCCTGGTTCTTGGTATGATGATTTATTTCTGATTAAAACATGGACATTCTCATATTATGTTATGAGACTCTGGATCTTATTTAAACCTTCTGTTTTAGCTGACTTTTTGTAACTCTGCTGTAGCAGGGGTGAGACCTCATTACTGACAGATGGAAGCAGAAGCCCAGATTCCCCACTTGGACTCCACTGACACCAGAGGGGAGGAGCTTCTCATTCCTGCTGGACAGGTGTGGGAGTTTCATTTCCCCACGTAGCCTCCACTGATACTGTGGTAGAGGTGGCCTCATCACTGCTGGGCATTGGTAAAAGTTCTGACTCTCCACTAGATCTACTCTGACACCACCATAGTAGGGAGGGGGAAAGACACCTCATTTTTGTCCAGTGGGTGTGGAAGTCTAGGCTCCCCACATGGTGTCCAATGACACCCTGGGGCGGGGGTCTTTACAGGCCAGTGGGGATGAAAGTCCTGACTTGGTACTTGCCCTTCTTTGACACTACCTACAAGGGGGGTTGAGAGGCCTCATTATAATCTTATAAGAGTGGAAGTCTAGACCTCTCCCTCTGCTTCTGCTTATGTGGGTGGGAGTGGAGCCAGTGTTTATCCGTAGTGTTTGGCTGGAGTAGTGCAGTTTTTATCTAAATGTTTTCTATTTTGGTAGGTCATCCTTTTCCTGGTAGGTCTTTTGGTATAATGCAGGCTTTTATTGTCTTTCTTTTTTTCTTGGTCTGTGTCCATTGGTGTTTCTATGTTGGTGGCTTCTTCAGCTCCAGTTCTTGGATATATGAGGCAAAAAGAAAACCCAGGCCACTCACCACTGTGTTACCATTCTTTGGCTCTTGAGGTCCCTAGCTAGTCTACCTTCTTTTCTCCACCTTTCAGAGTTATCTTATGTTTGTTTTATATGTAATGTCTAGGGTCTTTAATTGTTTTTAGTGAAAGAATAGGGAAAATACATTTACTTCATCTTCCTGGAAGTGAAAAAACTCTCCAATTTGAAAATTCTCAAGAATTTTCATCATTCCCAGATGGAATACCAAACATGAGATTTATTCCTCCATGTTTGACCTCTGACCAATGTTTGATCAGAGATACATTTAAGAGATGTAAATCATTTTGCTAATATGCTATTGATTAGTAATCCACCTATATATACCCTATTAATTTTCACATAAGAACAAAACAGTTTAAGTTCCAGTCTTATAATTATATTCAGATTTTATGTCCTTAAGCATGATAATTCTGCAGGCTGTTTCAATAAGTTAAGTAGTCTTTCTTTAGTCGAAACTTGGATTGATGCCTAAAATGGTTTAGCAAAGGTGTGATCTTTTCATTCTTTGCTTATTCTTACTCTACCCTGTAATCATGTAATAGTATGTCAGTGTGTTGAGCCAGTCAGGTAAAGGATATAGAAAACAGAGAAAAGGCAGCCATAAAGAAATAAGTTGTAAGAGCAAAAAATATCAGTTTTGATGATGTTAAATATGTAGTGAGATCATCTGTTAAGAATGGTTTTGCTTTTGGCTTTCCTAATTTTTCTTATTTCCACCTATACCTATATTAGATACTTCTGGAAAGTGTCCAGCCCAGGCAAAATTTTCCCTTCCTGGGAACTGCCTCTAGATCCACAAGGGTAAGGGCTTCAGTCAGCCATGTTTGCAACTATTTGACCTCTACCCACTGGAATAGTTGCCAGTCGGATTATCTTTCCTATAATTTAGAATCGGGAATGACGGGTAGTGAGTCTTTTAAGTGAAACTGCTGTAGGGTACGAATTTGTGAGTCAGGGGTGTGAAGACTTCTCTGCAGAGAGAGAAAAGCAGAGACTGAAGACGGATAGCTTTCCATTCCCAGTTCCAGGCCTTTCCTGAATCGTGCCTGAATTCATTCTCTCCCTTATTTCCATGAATAGCCTTATATTTTCTTACAATTCTTCCCCCCTACCCTATGTTATGCTTTTTGATTAAGCTAGCTTGAATTATTTTGTTACATGTAACCAAAGAGTTCTTAATAAAGACTACCATTTATTTACACCTTCAGGTTCCGGCCAGACCACAATGAGTACATGTCTAGGTTCAAAGTATATAAGGAATCTCTTGTGAAGATAATGCCTAAAAATCAAGCGATGGCCGAATTGTCACCTCTCAGAACCCTTGCTTATATCCAGATTCTCAACTCCTCAGTTTCTTTGCCTAGGTCCATTGTATTTTGTTATTAAGTTTCTGATTTTTGATTTTGCTGATATTATCATACTTGATCCCTTGTTTGCCTGTACTGTTTGCTTCTCTCGTATCAGCTGACCTATTATATTCAGTTTCTTTCAGGCACTGCCTTCTCCAGCATGATAGCTACCCCATCCCACTAGAAACTGCCACCAATTGCCTATTTTTGTAGTTTTTATTGACTTTGATGATTATACAGCAAAGAAATAGGCATTAATAAAAATTTAGAAAAAAATCAGGAAGAGGAGTATCATACTCTGCCAATACTCTTTCAATGGTTACGATAATCACTGTTGAGAATATGTACTTCCAAAGTTTTTTCTAGGTATATATGTGTTTGAGTATGTACAGTATGCACACATTAAATATATATACATCATATATAAATGCAACCATACCAAATCAAACTGGTCTGCAGCTTTTATTCACTTATATACTGTGAACATCATTTCATGTTAAAATATACACTGATATATTTAATAGTTACATAATCTTTCACTTTATGGATGTACTATAATTTATTTAAGCAATCTTCTGTTGTTGGACATTTAGATTCATTTTTCTTTTTCTTTGGCTCTTATAAGCAATACTGAAATGAACATCACTACAGAAATCTTCGAGCCCTTTCCTAGGTTTTTTTCCTTAGGATCAGTTTCTAAAAGTGGAATTTCTTAGTCAAAACGAATGTAGATATTACGGATTTTTCATATATTGTTGGATTGCCTTCCAGAAATTGTACCCATTTATATTCCAACAATCAGTGAATGAATTCTTCCATTGATAGACAAAAATGAAGAGAATTTCATGATTGTTTTAATTTTCGCTCCTTGGATTTAAGTGAGATCGAACATTTTAAAATGATCATTGGCCATTTTTTTCTTCTTTCCTTTTGTGAATTTCTGGTTCATAGCCTTTGCCCATTTTCCTATTAAAATATTCATAATTTTATCATTGATTTGTAGGCAGTCTTTGAATATTAAGTATATTGGTCCTCTGTTTTTCATTTATATTATGAAGAGAAATGTCAAAAGCATACTGATGAAGGACTCTGCAGTCAAAATGTCTAGTTAGGGTTGAATCCGATTGCTCCCTGTTGTCTGTGTGACCTTGAACAAATTGCTTACCTTTTGTACTTCAATTTCCTTATGTGTAGAATGTAAAATGTGTTTGTGTGTGTAAACACAGAATAGTGTGTAGCACGTAGAAATACTTCATCAAAATTTGTTGATAATATTAGTATTATATTTATCGTTTTCAGCTTGTCATTGTCTTACTTTTATTTATATGAGTTTCCTTTTGGCCTTAGTGATGGTTCTTTTTTATAATCTTGAAAAGAAATCTGGTCTTATCCTTCCTGCTTTCCTCTGAATATCAATAAGCTGAAGTAGCTCCGGTTAGTTATTTCTATTTCCGGTTGCCCCCTAGGATTATAAGGTTTAAACACACCTAAGAAATTTCAAGTCAGGCTGTGGTCATACTTTATTAATGCATACTTTATTCATAGATCCAAATTAATGAGTGGTTTCATGTAAACAAACAATCAAATAAGGTCTGAAAACCTACTCCTTCACATATCCAATGTTTTCTTAAGGCTTTGGGCCTTTCTCCCTTTGTCAGACATGGTGTAGCTGCCAGTATTTTTAAAAGCCTATGTTTGTTGCTTAGGATAATGAATTTAATAAGCCTTGTTTCCTTATAAAAGAGCATATGTATTAAATAGCTAAGAATGACAAAATTGTATTGACTTATGTTGGATTTGAAAGTTGGTTCTTGGATTGGGTATCTGTTTTCTCTGAGTAGTTTGCACATTTTTAGTGCTTTTCATGATGGGGAGCAAATACTGCAATATTTCTTGAGTTTCAGCTATTTTTTTTATCCCTGTAGAATCTTTTTTCATCATCTGTCCAGTTTACTCCAGGCTTCTTGCTTTGGAAAGATGGACGTTCTTTCATATTGCTTTTTAAGTTGTACTGCAGATCTGGGGAGCAACCATAAAAATATGTATAGATATATAAACTGAATTGATTAAGCAATTACATATTGAGCATTATCTGCCAAGCATTCTATCTAAAAATTCTTATCCATCTGAAGCTTATACTTTAATTATGAGGCAGAAAATAAGCAAACAAATAAGCTATCTATGTCAGATAATAAAAAATTTACGGGAGAAAATAAAGCTGGGAAGGGGAATAGAGAATTCTTGGGGGAGGGGCTGACTTCTGTTCTTAAAAAGGTGTTCAGAGAAGGCCTCCCTGTGAAGCTTCCACGTCAAAGGAGTTAAGGAACGAGACAAGCAGTCAAGCAGTCAATCAGAGGGAAGAGCGTTCTAGGCAAGGGGAATAGTAAGTGCAAAGGCCCTGAGCTAGGAGCATGTTAGTGTGTTCAAGGAACACCAAGATGGGACAAGTGACTAAAGCAGAATGAACAAAGGGAAAGATATAAGGTAATATGAGCTCAGATAGGTAACTTGGACTTAGTTCACATAAGGCCTCACAGGCCATTATAAGGATTTTGATTTTTACTGAGTGTGAAACAGGGAGCCACTGGAAGTCTTTGAGGAGTGTCACATCTGAGATTTGCTCTAAGAGGTTCATGCTGGTTGATGAGTTGAGAACAGATTGAACAGGGGTAAGGGTAAACAGGCAGGGAGATCTCTTAGAAGGCTACTGAAATAATTTAGGAGAGAGGATGGTAGCTTGGACCAGGGTGGTGGCAGTTGCCGGAAGGGTGAGAAGTGAGGGGGGCAGGGAAGTATCCTGAATATATTTTGGGATTTTCTAATGACTTAGATGTGGGGTGAGAAAAGAAGAGTGAAATCTGGTGGCTCCAAAGCTTCTGTTTGAGGAAACAGAGGAGATACAGTGAAAACTATGGTAAGAGCATGTTAGAAATCCCTTCTTTATTAGATGATATGAAGGAATTATTTTGTTAATTGTGCTAATAAGAGTATAATAACATTAAAATGTGTAGAAAAGTGTTTTAAAAAATAAAGTTCATTTTAAAAGTGTTTATTCCACCCCATACCCATTAGGATGGCCATTGTCAAAAAACAGAAAATAATAAGTGTAGGCAAGGATGTGGGGAGATTAAAACCCTTGTGCAGTGTTGGTTGGAATGTAAAATGGTGTAGTCAATGTGGAGAACAGTATGGTGGTTCCTTAAAAAATTGAAAATAGAATTACCATATGATCTAGCAATTCCACTTCTGGGTATATTCCCCGAAGAACTGATAGCAGCGTCTTGAAGAGTTATTTGTACATCCATGTTCATAGTAGCATTATTCACAATAGCCAAAAGGTGGAAGCAACCCAAGTGCCCATCGATGGATGAATGGATAAGCAAAATGTGGTGTATATACAATGGAATGTCATTCAGCCTTCAAAAGGAAGGAAATTCTGACACCTGCTACAACATAGATGAACCTTGAGGACATTATGCTAAGTGAAATAAGCTAGTCACAAAAAGACAAATACTGTATTTGTCTTCCAAATATTTGATTCCACTTATATGGGATCCCGAGAATAGTCAGTCAAAGTAGGATAGTTGCCAGGGGCTGGGAGGAGGGAGATGGGCAGTTGTTGTTTAATGGGTGTGGCGTTTCAGCTTTGCAAGAGACAAAAAGAGTTCTGGAGATGGTGTGCACGACAGTGTGAATGTACTTATTAACACCGCTGAACTTGACGCTTAAAAATAGTTCAGATGGTAAATTTTATGTCGTGTATTTTAACACAATTAAAAATAATTCAATATACAGAGGTAGAGAGAGGGGGAAAAAAGAACCCTAAGTAAAGCCTGAAGGAAAATAGGTAGACATTTTAAAGGATGTAGCAGTGTTACTTATCATTATGATGCCTAAATTGATATGTAGACAGCATAAGAAAAAGTAGAATACACTTAGAATAAAAGCAAGAAATACATTATGCTTTATCTAGTTAGATATATACACTGAACTATTTATGGGCAAAACAATATGATTTGCTGACTTTGCTTTAACTACTTTAGCAAAAAAAAAAAAAAAGCAGTGGGAATATAGATGAAACAAGAATAGCAGGATGCTGATAACTATTAAGGGTGGGTGACAGGCACCAGTGGTTCATTATTCTATTCTACTTTTGTTTATGCTTGAAATATCCACAATAATGCTTTTAAAAAAGGAATTATCCATTACTAAAAAGAAAGGAAACAGATGACTAAAGCACTCACTGAATTAAGCTAGACTTAAAAGACAATGATTGAGGGTATGTATGATTACAATATCTGGCAGTGCTGGCAAATAAACTGAATTTACCTACAGTCTCTTGAGAAGCCATTCCTAGGCCATTCAGCAAATACTCATTGAATCATTATTATGTATCCGGCATTATGTTTGGTTTGGTAAATAGGTATGAAAAATATAGTCCTTGCCTTTAATATGCCAACAGTTGGGACTAGAGAGAGAGAAGTAAAGCATCAATTAGAATATTTATCTATAGAGATAAGGCAAGGTACTTACTAAAGGACTGCTGAAGAGGGACTTCTAGCCATACTTAGAGCTGGAAAAGGAAATATTCCTAATTCCTAATTAATCTGAGTCTTGATGCATAGCTATGTCAGCTAAGTAAAAAAAAAAAAAAAAAAAGGGTAGTAATCTAGATAGTGGGACTAACATGGCACATTCAGGAAATCACAAGTATGGTTTAGAATGACTAGAAATCAGGTAGGTGTGAATAAGTGGTTCAAAACTAGAGATCTTGTAATAATAGTACTTTTGGGAGATTTCCTGAGACAGGAATAATTTGTGACTGGTAGATGCTTAATGTTTTAAAAATGGAATTGTTAGGAGGCCATTGAAAACTATACATGGAAGTGATATAATTAGATGTGCATTTTTGAAAGATCACGCTGGCAACCAGAAGGATGACAGGTTGAAGAAAAGTGAGAGTTGAGGCAGACAGACAAGTTAGGAGGCTAATGCAGTAATTCAAGGGAGGCAGAAAGGGAGTCTGAACTAAAGGAGCAGCAGTATGATGAAGAAATGCAGAGTCAAGAGAATCTTTGAGGGCAGATTGATAGAGCTTCTCATTGTTGGATACCAAAGAGATGTAGAAGATTAGGATATGTCTTGGGCTATTATTTAGATAACAGGAGGACGGCAGTATTATTGACTGAGAAACGGAATGCAGCAGGAGAAAGAGATCTGCAGTGGGCAAGTTGTATTAGAAGTATCTGTGAGGAAAAGCAAGGATAATTCCAGTAGGCACAGTATGGAATTCAGAAGAGATGCCTATATTGATGACTAAAAAAATATGATCATGATCAGCAGTTGTTTGTTGAAGCTACAGGTATAGATGAGGGCGCTCAGAAATAAAGTATGTGGTGAGAAGAGGAGAGACCAAAGGATGGAATACTGGGGAATAGCCCACTTAAAATTCAGGCAGAGGAAGTGAAGCCCATGTAGGACACCAAACATGAATGGGCAGAGAAACAGGACTAAAAAAGAGAGAAGTTCCACAGATACGTCCATTGGAGTTGCTCAGTGAATGAAGGGAGAGAGTTTTAAAGCTCTGGAATTAACCAACAGTAGAGAAGTCAAGTATGATAAGAGCTGATGGCTTTGGAAGTAATATCATTGTTATGGTGAGAAGCTAGATTGTAGTAGCTGGAGAATTATACAGGTGAGGAGGTGAAGGAAAAGTTATAGCCCTAAATGTATATATTATAAAGAAAGGGACAACAGCAAAAAATAACAAAAGATAACTCTCTGAAATGATTTACTTCAGTAAAAAAGAAGATTGTAGAATTTTTATTCATATGTCATCAAGATTCATCAGGACATGTTTAAAGATAATATAATAAAAAAGCCATGAGAATCTCAGCTCAGGGAAGATGGGAAAGATGAGAAACAGATTTTAAATTAAGCAGTGTGGTGGCAGCAGTGGGAAAAACTGAAAAACAAATCTCCCTGTTGCAGCAAAATTCTGTAAATACTACCTGTCTCCAACTTCTCTGCTCCCATTTTAAAATACACTTTAATTAGACTTGTACCTCTGTCATTCTACTGAAATTTCTCTGATCAAGATCCCAAATAAAACCTCCATGTTGTAAAGTCCAGTAGTAAATCCACTTGACTTAATCAGAAGCATTAGACTTGGCTGCTTATTCCCTTCTCTTTGATACACTTTCTCACTTAGCTTCCAGGACAACACATTCTCTTGCTTTTCCTCCTACCCCAGAGGGGGCTTCTTAGTCTTCTTTTGTTGGGTTCTTACTCTTTTCCTGATCCATCAGTGTTAGAGTTCCCAAGGACTTGCTCCTTAACCCTCTTCTATATCTACACTCACTTAAATCTCATCCAGCTTCATGCCTTAAAATACTATCTATAGGCTGAAAATTCCCAAATGCATCTTCAGCCCAGATCTCTTCCCTGAATGCTGGACTCATATATCCAACTGCCTATTCAGTACCTCCACTTCAGTGTCTAAAAGGCATTTAAAAAGCAACACGTCTAACCTGAATTGCTGCTCCACTCGATCTTTGCCATCTGGCGGATGAAAATTCAATCCAGCTAGTTGGTCTGGCCCAACACCCTGGAGTTTCAACAGTTGTAAATACCTGTGAAACCATTACCATAAACGAGATCTAGAGAGGATCATCCCTAAAAGATTCCTGATGCTCCTTTACAGTCCATTCTTTCCTTCCTCCCTACTCTGTCCCTTCCTACTCTAGGAAACCTTTATCTACTTTTCGTCTCTATAGATTAGCTTGCATTTCATATAAATGTGATTTCATATAGTATTTACTTTTCTGTGTCTGGCTTCTTTTTCTCAGCACAGTGATTTTGAGATTCATCCATGTTGTGTGTATCAGCTCATTACTTTTTTATTCTATGATATGGAAAGGGCATCAGTAACAAGGAGGTGATGGGAATAAGGAAATTAAATTGGTTTTTCAAGGCTATATTAAACAAACAATTTTCTTCTATATTCAACTTATATAGAAATTAAATAAGACAAATACTTTACAGAGTCAGGAATAAAATGGCTGTCTATCCTCTGTTTATAAAAAGTTCCCATAATCCAAATTTCTTAGGATTTATCAATATTAATGATGATACAGTGAAAGCCACCTTTGTATATAATATTAAAATCCTAAACAACAACAAAAAAGAAAAACCTTCCGTTGGTATCCTTGTCTTCTCAGTCCAGATGGGAGTTTGTTTGCTCATAGGACACTTCAAGGATGTCACTTTGACACAGTTTCCATACAAATCATTGATTCTGGGCTGAATTGTTTCCTGGACCGGCCTCTCATCGGTTTCTAAAAAATATCTTTGTTGGTCTTTGCTAAGCCTCTGAATCATAGTTTGGGAGCTGAAAGAAATTGGGTACTCTGATTTCAATGTCAACAATGAACTATCTCATCAAGAGTAATGTAATGCCATGTTATATCTGTATTTTACATCTCACAGTATGCAAAGTATTGTTACAGATATTATCTTACTTGGGGCTCTCACCAGTCCTGTGATACAGGCAGGATGGCCAGTGTTATCCCCATCTTACATCAGAGAGGGAATGTAAGGGAATGTTAGGGAATCAGAGAGGTTAAGCTATTTGTTCAAGATAACATAGCTAATAAGGAGGGGCAGGTCTAGAATACATATCTTCTAACTCCACTACTTTTTCTATTACCTTCTCTTATGTTGACATATTATTTCATTTCTTTCCATAGATAAGTAATATATTTTAAAAAGTTAAGTCTTAGTTTAAATTAATCAATTCTAGATCCAAGTACAGGTATGGCCAAAGATGGTTTCTTAACCTAATTTTCTAGGTTTTGGGGGCAAGAGAGCCTACATATTTCAACAGAACCATTATTGAGCAGAAATCAAGTTCTTAGAAAAGAGGCCAAGGAAGGGAGAACAGGCATACCATGTTTCCTCTGTTGTGCAAATTCAGTCTATTCTCAAATACTTACAAATCCACTGTTCAGGTGGTTGTTCATATCATTATTCCTAGAGATAGGGAAACTTGCCAGGGGGGCTAGTGGTATAATAATTACCGGTTTAGACAAAACTACAAAGTTTATCTATGTTATCCCTGACTTCCCTTTCTATTCCTTTTCCAATTTTTAGGTACTAGTATAATCCCTACGTGACCAGTGCTTCAATTGCTATCATAGATAGTAAAACATTTGCTAGTATTCATTCTAAGTAACTATCTTATGCCAGAAGTATTTCTATTTAAAAAGAGAAACTCAAATACAGCAATGGTAATTGCTTAGAAGAAATAACTGTCTAACTGCAGATGTTAAGGCATCCATTAGGGATACTTTAGGGATACTGAAATCTCAGAACCATTCAAAATGCATCGTATGTGCACTCCTATGTATAAAACTGACCTAGCCACAGACACTATGTAGACTCTAAGGAGACAATTAGCAATTGTTATTAAAACGTCACTTTTAGCTGTTACTTTAATGCAAAATAAAAATCTTATAAGACAGAGGAAAGGGAGTAAGGTAACCTGGTAGAAGAAATCAAGTGTAGTTCTCCTACCTCAAGATATCTTTTTAGAAGCCAAGAAGGGGCTTGTCCAGGTATTTTTGCTAAAAAAGAGAATATACCATAAAATTTCTGAACTTAGGTTTTAAGGTTAACAAAACAATTTTTTTACTTTCTTCACAATTACCTCATTCATATATTTAATGGCTAGCTTGAGTTTATCTTCAATTAATCTGACATTATCTCATTCAGACATATGAAATATATCAGTGCATACTTCCTCTGGAAGCTTTTAAATGAAACTGTTTCAAGAGAAGAGCAAACAGTAGAAATACCTGTCCAATAATTATCAAGCGTTTCAGAACTGAATTCTGCATGTCAGGCTCTATGAAGGCCATCTACATGTGTAGTAGGGTGACTAACTTTTAGAGTGCCAACTCAAGACACAGCTACAACAGACCAAAAAATTAGTACAATATGTAATAAATACTTACACACACATGATTATTTTAACATAAAATATAAATTAGGCATTTATTTAAAATTATATATTATTTGCTTTTTTGTTACATAAATGCCATTATTTAAGAAAAACAGTAGGACTAGTTAACAGTGGCAATTAGTAGTTATAAATAGTGGAACCAATTAAACAAATAGTATGTGTGAGAATAATATAACATTATAAATAGTTTTTTCCTCTGATACAGATTTTAACTCTTTATAGGATATTTACATTTTATAGGCCATATTATGTCTTTTTAAGATACATAAATATAAGACCTTTAAAAAGTTGAATGTAAATACAATGGGGCTGAGTAAACAGACATTACTTATAATTAATAAAAATTGACATTTCTTTATGTTCCATGATAAAGTAGGATATTTTTGCTCTTTGTGTGTCCTCTTCCAATAATACTTCTCTGAACTGCCTGCAGCCTTCAGGATATCCTTCTTTTCTTTTATGTAGTCGTAAAACTGAATACATTCAAAGTCAAGGCCTCTGAGGTCTGCTCTTATGAAGTCCCACATTATGCTGACCCCTGGTGGCAGGCCAATGCAATGACAGCAAGTTAGATATCCTGTCAACAAGGGAATTTGATCATGGAATATGACCGTACTTATTAATAGCAGGTTTCTAGACTTGTAAGGAATTAGTTTCCAGCTTTACAAAAATGTCCATCCACTTTATATCTACAGGCTTAATTTAGTAGGCTGGCTTTTGGGCATTTGGCCCTTTGCATCCTTAAATTCATCATGTAGTGTTTGCCATGTCTAAAATGTCCACTGTTTTTAGATACTCTGAAGCACACTGGATATCATTGCAAGTAAACTTTTCTTTCTCAGGGAATAGGTTTTTAAAGCACAGAGGTAATTCGAACTTAAACTGAAGGTGGATTTCAAATAAATTACAGTTTTTAGTGCTGTTTAACTTGACTGCCCTTTCTGGTGACATATTTTTGACTTCTGAGTCAGTCTTATTTCCTCCTAAATGTCATTTTTTTTCACTGTATGAGTTTCTGTCATAACCTACATACAATGTCAAACAACTGAGGTGCAGTTCATCGTTTTCTATGCTCCATATGACCTCTTCAAAGATCATCAAACAGAATTAGAGAAACAGCATATAAATTGTTTTACTGTAGCCCTTTCCTCTATTCCCATCTCAAACTATTTGCAAATTAGAGAAAGCCATTCTTCTTGTCCCACATGTTGAAAATGTGATTTAATGGCAGACCAACATTTTAATGTCTTTTCTGTGGCTGGCAACAATGATAGCCACCTTATTGGCACAGGTCTAAGGAAACTGCCCTCTTTCATTTCTGTAAAGTCGAAAATCTCATTAAGTGCTTCTTCTGCATTTTTTGAGGAAACTAAAACTTGACCAAAAAATTTCATTATGAAAGCCTCATTATCACATGATAGCAAATCACACTTTTTTTTTTTTTTTTTTTTTTTGGTTTTTGGATATTTCACAGTTGTGGCCTCTCCCGTTGCGGAGCACAGGCTCTGGACGCACAGGCTCAACAGCCATGGCTCACGGGCCCAGCCACTCGGCGGCATGTGGGATCTTCCCAGACCGGGGCACGAACCCGTGTCCCCTGCATCAGCAGGCGGACTCTCAACCACTGCGCCACCAGGGAAGCCCCCACACTCTTTTTTAAATACAAGGTGTGCAAGACATTAAAGAGATCAGATCTTTTTCTTTGGTAAGAAGTTGATAGACTGAATGAAATTTGCCAAAATATACATTTTATATTGTCAGCCAACCATGCAGATAGATGAGCAAAGTCTAGTTTGTCTTTGGACAACATATTGACAATATTTGGTTTGATGTTTTCTGTGGTTTCATTAAAATCTTCATAGAAATCAAGATTCTTTGAAACCCCATTTTTCAAATTAAAGTACCTAATAGCCAGAGGAAGTGTTTTTTCTTTTTTATTCCATGTATCATGTGATAACTGTAGAAAACCTTATTGTTGGTAAGATCTGACAAAATGAGCTTTACACTATAAGAGTCCAACACATCTGTCATCAAAATTTCCCCTTTGGTTAACCCACAGGGCATTTTAGTGGCAAACTCTGAATTAGGAAATGTAATTTTACTCAGTTTCATCAAGCAATCAAGGGAATTATCTGATAATCAGTGTTCATTCATGTCATATGCCCAAGCGAATCCACCAGCTATTATTTTTGACTGAGCATTGGTGTCTTTTTGAGAGGTGAAAAAACTTTCAATTGATTTAGAAGTACTTCTTGCTTCTCTCATCTGGACTTGTGAGATTCAATCTCCTTTATGACGATCAATTCCAAATTCTTTTCTCTAAATGTACACTATGCTCTGTTTTGGTTATTTATCTCCTTAACTAGTTGTATGTGTCTATGAAGGTTACTCAAAAAATTAAAAATAGAACTACACTATGATCCAGCAATTCCACTTCTGGGGATATATCCAAAGAAATGAAAAAGAAAAAAAAAAGATCTTGAAGAGGTGTCTGTCCATGTTTATTGGAGCATTATTTACAATAGCCAAGACACAGAAACAACATATGGTCAGTCAATGGTCGAATGGATAAAGAAGTTACGGTGTGTGTATGTGTGTGTGTGTGTATATACACACACACACCCGCACACATACACACACACAATGGAATATTATTCAGCCATGAGAAAGAAGGAAATCCTGCCATTTGGGACAACAGGACCTTGAGAGCATTAGGCTAGGTGAAATAAGTCAGACAGAGAAAGATAAATTCAAAGATTTTTGTCTTTGTCTTTGGTTTTCTGAAGTTTGAATATGATGTGCTAGGTATATGTGTGTGTGTGTGTGTGTATACATTATAGGAATTCCTATAATAGCCTTGTTTTTGTCTATCCTGTTGTCTTTGGGGTTCCCTAAGCACCACTTATCAGATAGAATACATGTCTGGCTTGCAGCTCTTTTAGCTGTAAATCATTGTTCTTATACTGGAGTCATGTTGGTGTGGTGGTAAGGTATGGGGAAAGGGAACATCCTATAATCTTATTAAATCTTAGTCTTTTAGTGGGTCTGTGTCCCTGGGCTGTGACCTTAATAGGCATTTCTTAGCTTTTCTTCCCCCTACCTTTCAATGAGACAAGGCGGCTAGGAGGGGCTGGCTGTGGTGGTGGGGGGGGGGAAGAGTAAGCATTGCAAACTATCCAGAACGTTCTCCCTAACAAAGGTCTACTCTCCAAATCCAGCCCTTTACATGTTGGAGCTTAAAGCTAGCAGTCCCCTTACTATGCTTACATTGTATGTCTATCTTTTCTTCTAAGAGTAGTTTCAGGTCTTACATTTAGGTCTGTCACCCATTTTGAATTAATGAATTGGTGTAAGGAATGAGTCCAACTTCATTCTTTTGCATGTGAATATCTAGTTGTCTCAGTACCATTTGTTGTAAATGCTCTTATTTTCTTCATTGAATTGTCTTGGTACCTTTGTTGAAACTTAATTGACAAAAAATATAAGGGTTCATTTCTGTATTCTTAATTCTATTTCATTGATCTCTGTATCTACCATTATGCCAGTACGACACTGTTATGATTACTGCAGCTTGGTGGTAAGTTTTGAAATTGGAAAGTATGACTCTTTGAACTTTGTTCTTCTTTTTCAAAATTGCCTTGGTTATTCTCGTCCTTTACATTTCCTATGCATTTTAGGTTTAGCTTGTAATTTCTGTTTCGGCAGAGATTTTGATAGGATTGCATTGAATCTGTATATCAATTTGGTGAGTATTGCCATCTTAACAAGTCTTCTGATTCCTGAATGTGGGGGAATCTTTCCATTTATTTAAATCTTCTTTAATATATTTCAACAGTGTTTTGTGCTTTTCAGCGTGCAAGTATTACACTATTTTTGTTAAATTTATTTCTAAGTATTTTATTCTTTTTGATGTTTTGTAAATGGAATTTTCTTAATTTCATTTTCAGAATGTTCATTGCTAGTATATAGAAATACAATTGATTTTTACAACAGATTTATTGAGATCTAATTCACATACCATACAATTCACCCATTACAACTGAGTTTTGCATGTTGATTTTCTATCTTGCAACCTTGCTGAACTGATTATTAGCTCTAGTAGGTTGTGTGTGTGTATGTATGTATGTTCCTTAGGATTTTCTACATACAAGATCATGTGTTCTGCAAATAGAGGTAATTTTCCTTCTTTCCAGTCTGGATGCATTGTATTTATTCTTCTTTCCAAACTGCCCTGCCTAAACCTCCATTGTCTTGGTCCTGATCTTAGGGGGAAAGCATTGTCTTGTACCATCAACTATGATATTAGCTGTGGGATTTTTAAAAAAATTTATTTATTTATTTACTTTTGGCTGTGTTGGGTCTTCATTTCTGTGCGAGGGCTTTCTCTAGTTGCAGCGAGCGGGGGCCACTCTTCATCGCGGTGCACGGGCCTCTCACTGTCGTGGCCTCTCTTGTTGCGGAGCACAGGCTCCAGACGCGCAGGCTCAGTAGTTGTGGCTCACGGGCCCAGTCGCTCCGCGGCATGTGGGATCTTCCCAGACCAGGGCTCGAACCCGTGTCCCCTGCATTGGCAGGCAGATTCTCAACCACTGTGCCACCAGGGAAGCCCTAGCTGTGGGATTTTTATAGATAGCCTTTATCAGGTTGAGGAACATCCATCTACTCCTACTTTGTTGCGTATTTTTTTTTAAATCATGAAAGGATGTTGGATTTTGCCAAACATTATTCCTGCATGTACTGAGATGATCATGTGCATTTTGTTCTTTTTTCAATTAATGTGTATTACGTTGTTTAATTTTATTTCTTTTTAAATTAATTTTTATTGGAGTATAGTTGATTTACAATGTTGTGTTTCTGCTGTACAGCAAAAGTGAATCAGTTATGTATATATCCACTCTTTTTATAGATTCTATTCTCATATAGGTCATTACAGAGTACTGAATAGAGTTCCGTGTGGTATACAATAGGTCCTTGTTGGTTATCTATTTTATATATAGTAGTGTGTGTATGTCAATCCCAATCTCCCGATTTACCCCTCCTCCACCTTTCCCCCTTTGTAACCATAAGATTGTTTTCTACATCTGTGACCCTATTTCCGTTTTGTTAAATAGGTTCATTTGTACCATTTTTTAAGATTCCGTGTATAAGTGATATCATGATATTTGTCTTTCTCTGTCTGACTTACTTCACTCAGTATGACAATCTCTAGGTCCATCTTTGTTGCTGCAAATGGCATGATTTCATTCTTTTTAATGGCTCAGTAATATTCCATTGCATATATATACCACATCTTCTTTTTCCATTCCTCTGCTGATGGACATTTAGGTTGCTTCCATGTCCTGGCTATTGTAAGTAGTGCTGCAATGAACATTGTGGTGCATGTATCCTTTCAAATTATGGTTTTTCTCTGGATATATGCCCAGGAGTGGAATTGCTGGATCATATGGTAGCTTTTTTTAGTTTTTTAAGGAACCTCCCTACTGTTCTCCATAGTGGCTGTACCAATTTACATTCCCACCAACAGTGTATAGGAGGGTTCCCTTTTCTCAACACCCTCTCCAGCATTTATTGTTTATAGATTTTTTTGATGATGGCCATTCTAACCGGTGTGAGGTGATACCTCATTGTAAGTTTTGATTTGTATTTCTCTAATAATTAGTGATGTTGAGTATCTTTTCATTTGCCTTTTGGCCATCTGTATGTCTTCTTTGGAGAAATGTCTGTTCAGGTCTTATGCCCATTTTTGGATTGGGTTGTTTGTTTCTTTAATATTGAGCTGCATGAGCTGCTTGTATATTTTGGAGCTTAATCCCTGTTGGTCGCTTTGTTTGCAGATATTTTCACCCATTCTGTGGGTTTTCTTTTCGTTTTGTTTATGGTTTCCTTTGCTGTGCAAAAGCTTTTAAGCTTAATTAGGTTCCACTTGTTTATTTTTGTTTTTATTTTCATTACTCTTGGAGGTGGATAATTTTTATATGTTAAACCAACCTTGCATTTCTGGGATAAATCCTACTTGGTCACTGTGTATAATCCTTTTTATATGTTGCTGGATTCAGTTTGCTAGTATTTTGCCCTACTCTTCTGTCTTAATTTTTAATAGATTCAAAACTTGGTAAAGAAAAAGTAGTATTTATTTATTTGGGCCCTGGAACCGTAACAGTTACCTTTTCTGAGAAACTTTCTCTGATACTCCCTTATCCCCAAACAACTCCTGTATAATATCATGGCACAGTAAACAGCATTTATCCCGTTATGTTTCTACTGTCTGTTTACTTGTCACTCTCTCTGCTTCTTGAGAACAGACTATATATTTTTTTCCATTGTAGCCCAGTATCTAGCACAGTCATCGGCTAGTATATTGAGACCTCTGCGAAGCAGATAAACATCAGATTTTTAAAAGAACATGAACAAAGATGGAAAGGAGATTATGTAACAAAGGAGGATTATAAGAGAGTGACTGAGCCACAGGAGAATAGTATCAGGAAGCTTAAAATACCAGATGAACTCAGATATGAAGTATTGAGAAAAAGAAGTAAATTTTACTTAGCTATATTCAGAATGAAAATATATCAAATAATGTTTAGATTTTTTCTGCTGGGATTATTTTAAAATACTGATGGATGACAAAGAGCAGAATCCCTCAGCTCCTCTGTTGCACCTGTCTTTTCTATTGAATAGAGTTTTCTTCTGTTTAGACAGGGGAGAATAAATATTGGTGAGAGATGTCAGGAGTCAAAAGGCTCTGAATGCCTTATCTTCAGGCCCAGACATAGTTCATCTCAAGTAAGGAAAGAATTTTCATATAAATAAGATCACAAAACCATTGACATTAATCTTTTAAGAATTCATGGAAGTGACTCTCCTCTTGCTGCTAAATGCCTAACTTATCACTTAAGACTCCATCATAATCATGATCATAATTTAAGGATCAGTTCCTTCAGGAAAACATTCCCTGAGATTTCCAGGCTGGATTACATGCCCTTCTCTGAGCAACCAGAGCAATTTGTGCATATTGTTATCACTCAGTCTATCTCACTCTTATTGTAATGAACTGTATATGAGTCTTATTACACTTTGATACCTACTCCTTAAATGATGAAGTAGCTTATCTAGTTGAAGAGGGAGAATTATGTTTCAGGCAGAGAAGACAGAATGAGCAAAGGCAAGGAGGTGAGAAGACTGATGTATTTTGAGGCCACAAGAGGATCATCATTGCTGCAGTGTAAAGGAAAAGGCAGAGAATGGCAAGAGGTAAAACTGGAGAGGCAGTCAGGGGCCAGTTCACTGGAAGTCTTGTACGTCATGTTAGGGAATTGGTTTCTCTGATGCAGCAAGTGGTTGTCAAAAAAAATTTTTTGTTTTTAAAGTAACAGACCATTATTGGAAGAAAAACTGTACATGAAAGCTACTCAGGATGAATAAGGGTTGGATGGGCTAGGTCCCAAATGCTTGGCCTCCCACCGACTCTCACTATAGTTCCCAATGTGGTGAGTCGAAAAGAGCAGATCATCAACATCAGAATTATCTATGGTACCTTATTAAAAATGCAGATTTGGGGGTTGACAACAAAGGCCAACCCAGAATTCAAAGCTGGGATTATCATAAACTCCCCAGATAATTCTAAAGTTTTAAAACCAGACATTCTATAAAACTGCTGGCCCATAATCTTCACAGTGCCAGTGCTGTGAATGACAAAGAAGGGCTGAGCAGATGTTCCAAATTAAAAGAGAATAAAGGGATATGGCAATTAAATGCAATCCATGAGCCTCAATCAGGGAGAAGTTTTGCCCTAAAGGACATCATTGGTACATTTGGCAAAATTTCACTACAGTATGATACAAAGTAGTATTGTATCAAAGTTGAATTTCCTTATTTTAATGTAAGAGAATGTTCTTGTTCTTGGAAAATATATGCTGAAGCCCTTTAGGAATAAAGGAGCATTATGTCTACAAAAAATGGATTGGGGGGAAAACACAGCTAGGTAGGTAGATAGATATAGCTCTTTGTACTATTCTTGAAATTATTTAAAAATTAAAAGTTGAAGAAAATTGAAAAGAGAAAGCCTAGAACAAACTGAAGTCTCAGGACTGTGCCAACTTCAACCACTGTTAGAAAACTGGGAATTACTGAAAGGCTTCAGGTAGTGGCATTAATCAGATTTCTGTTTTTGATAGATTGCTTTTATGGTAGTATGAGAGGTGGAATTAGGATGACAATATTGGTGGCAAGGAGACCACTTAGAAATCTAAAGTGCTTCTGATAAATAAGCACTGAAAAGAATGATGGTAGTTAAAGTGGAGACAAAAGGGATTATGTGGTAAAATCAGTTGGATTCAGTGGCTATCTAGATATGAATGGTGGAAGTGAAAGAAGAAAAAAAGATAACTATTAGGTTTCTAGCTTGGGTAGTTATGTAGATAGTACTGCTACCAAAGTTATAGTGAATACAGAAGGAACGGCATTCAATGTGGGATTAGATGAATTTGAATTTGGCTATAAGGGACATTTAAGTGAAGACATAAACAGATAAAGAAGCTGAAGCTTTGACAAGAGGTCAGATATAGGATATGTATTTATATATTGTATATATGTATAAGGTATATACACATGTATATAGTACAACAATATGACATAATCAAGATCAAGTTCATGAAAGGCTGAATCTAAGAAGACTTAGTTTAACAAGAATAAATTTAAGGCTCAGTACACTGGACCAAGATATCAAACCAAAATTGAAGAAGTAGAGAATGGAGGAGACGTAAGTTAGCAGTGGCACTATGAAAATAAAACTTTATAGGTTTGAGTATTTGTAAATCCAATATGTCAATATTTTAGGATAATTTTCAAAAAAACATGTAATCTTAGACTGCATTAATGGAAATCTGGTATCTAGAAAGAAGCAAATGAGAATGATAATTTATTGTATACAGTCAGGCTTCCATATCAATGGGTTCTGCATCTGTGGATTCAACCAACTGCAGATCAAAAATAGTGGGAAAAAAATTCCAAGAAGTTCCAAAAAGCAAATCTTGAATTTTCTGTGCACTGGCAACTATTTACATAGCATTTACATTGTACAGGTATTATAAGTAATCTAGAGATACTGAAGGATATGCATAGGTTATATGCAAATACTGTGCCATTTTATATAAGGGACTTGAGCATCCTCAGATTTTGCTATCCGTGGGGTTCCTGGAACCAGTCCCCCACAGATACCAAGGAATGGCTGTCCTAGTTAGATGACATCTGCAATACTGTGTTCAGTTTCATTCAAGCTTGAATAGTGATAGAAAACAGTAAGATACAATAGTAAAGGGAATCATATTATGGATGGCTGAAAGAAATGGAAGGAAAGTGTCAGGGAAATGATAGCTTTAAAAAAATATTTATGGTCTGTCATGTGGAAGAGGCATTATATTTGTTATTATTTCAAGGAGAATTAGGGAAAATGAGTCGGTCAGAAATGTTTACCTTTAAGGTCTTTTCATTCTTTTTTGCTTTGTATTATTAAAGAGGTGAATTAAATTTACAGGGACATATGTTTTTAACTCAACATAAAAAGAACATTGCTCTCTAACAATGGAATGAAGTGACTGCAATTTGGTAAACTATTTGTCACCAAGTGTAGTCAATCAAAAGTTGGATGCGCCTGGGTCCTGTCATCAGTAGGAGGTGAGAGTAGGGTGCTCTCAGGGTTTCTCTCTGCTTTAAGATTCAATGAGATGGGAATGAAAAGATTAGACAATGAGATGAATAATATTTTTTTGAAAATAATATTTTTCAAAATATTTTTTTCGACTCGGTAAAATTACAAGACATCAAGTTGACATATAAGGAAGTTCTTTTATATTTCTAGAGTTAGAGAGAAAAATTAAAATTTGAGATTCAGAATTTCTGGGAAGGTGAATTGTTCCTTGGCTGTCCGATTTGAAGATAATCTTCTAGTTTCTTATGTGTAAATCTTGACCAGATACATATTAAATAGCTTACATTCAGATGATAGGTGATTACACATTACTGTCTATATTCCCATCTTATTCACAAACCTTGATTAGGGAACTGTCTTCTGAAATAATCAAATGTACAGTCATCTGATATATCTGGCCTTGTATCTAGAAAAGATGGTAAAAGTTCCTTAGTAGCATGAAAATAGTTCATTGACTCTTTTACATTTCATATTTTTATCTTTTTCTAAATGAAAAATGCTAGCAGATAATATGTAAATAGTTTAGCTCAATGAAATTAATACAAACAGTTCTCAAATCTTATATGATTTTTGTTGCATTTTTGCTATTTATAGTAAGGTCTAAAAAATGTTCATACTCTTTGGGTCAGCAGTTCCTTTCTAGGAATCTATTATAAATAAATAATTAAGAATATACACAAATAGGGAGTTAAACATCTTCATTGTTGTTTACAACAGAAAAAAATGTTTAACAATGGGGGTGGCTAAATAAAGGTTCACTAATACAATGGAATACTTTCACCATTTACTAACATGTAAAGAAGTTAATAATATCCTGTACTTTTAAATGAAAACATAGGTTGCCAAAAACCCTGAAGATTAATTAATAACCTGTGATTAATTAACATGGAGTGTATGTGTATAGAAAAAAGTCTAAAATAAGGATTCTAAAATGTGTTCTTTAATTTCTGACATTAAATTTAACAGAAGAATATATAAAAGTTACATATAAAAAGTGACTGATTTGCTTGGCTGATCACTATGAGAAAGAATAATTTAAAGTTCAATGAAGTAACCATCTTAATTATAATAAAATTCTCTCGTTTCCTAGGTGTGGTTCTTACTTCCATTTCTGTTTTTAATTAGCCTGCTGTATCATAAACTAAGTGGATTTATGTACTTGTATATATACTTTTAATTAAGTTACCTGAAATTCTTTTTGAAAATAAGTGTGGTATAAATGTATAAAAATTAATATATACACACATAAAATTAAAGAAGTATTTTAGACAAAATTAAAATATTGCTTAAATTTTATGAATATTTTTCAAAGGACCTCAAGTAAAGATAATGAGATAAAAATTAAGAAAAAAATATACCAGAAATGTTAGAGATTCAGAGATTTATGTTAGACTTAGCAGATTCCTACAGAAGCAAATGAATAATCCAAAATTTAATTTCTCTCCTGGCTCATCACAAAAGGACCAAGATGTTTTTTAAAACATAAAATCCCTATATTCTGTTTTGGGAAAAATCTTTCAAATCGGCGATATCTCTCAAGTACAGGGACCACTCAATCCAACCCTCCAGTCTAACTGACCACTCCCTTCTCTGTGCTCCCTTAGAACCCTGTGCAGACTATAGGCATTGCACCTGTAACACCGTGCTTAACTTGTTTGTCTCCTCCTATTAAAAGATGAGTTCCTGGGAATAAGAAATGGTATAGTATAGTCTTAATATCCCTAGCACAAAGCACGGTGATAACCTCAAAGCTGTAGCACAAAAAAGTGTTTGTTGAGGAAATGAATTAATTGTTTACGAGAGGGTAAAAGCAGAACATTACCTGTCACATCAGAATTTGATTCTTTGTGTCTTTGAACTAAATTTCCTTTTTCACAAACCTAATGGAACACAGAACCAGAAGGAAGGCAGTACTATATTATAAACATGAAAATGAGGTATATTTTCTATGATTTATCGTAATTTTCAACATTTCTCATTTTATCCTCATAGATTTAGAATGGACAAAAATAATCTTTTAAATCAGAGCCTTTTACTGTCTTTCGCAACACTACTTTTCTTCTACAACAATGATAGAAGAAAGTATTAATATTGTATTTTGGCATTAAAGGGAGTTTAAAAATTTTTTTACTTCATATAGAACTTATTTATGATGAGAAAGGGACAAAAATATATGCTTATAATCTCACTTAATGAGAAGAATAAAGATGTAGCAAGATAAGTGTGAAATGAGTGAAACTATATAAAACTGTATGAAAAGGTATAAGCAATTACAAAACTATGTTTGTATAGAGAAGTTGAAAAAATATTTTCTTGTAGCTTGTAAAAAAGTTCAGAGTAAGAAAGATCGTACACATGACATTGCTGTCTACCTTGAGAGGAGATACTTGCCAATATGACCCAGTTGGACTAAAAGAGACACAAAACACCGCAGAATTATGACTGCTAATCTTGAGTAGTCTACAAATCATTATGTGATTGTGAAAACATTTTCAATGATTCCCAGCTTTTGTTTCTGCACCTGTGCTCTGTGGATATTAGAAAGAATTTTCCAAAAGGGCCTGAGAAAAGAACTGAAAACATTTTGCCAAGATGTAATGCATACCAACTCATGATAAAAAGTAGACTATGAAATAGTTAAAAGCTAAAATCCTCTTTTTAGATAAAATTGAATGACAGCAAAAAAAAAAATTGACATAATCAGGATGAAAATGGGAGGAAACTGTAAAAATCAAAACTTGATTGTTAAAGGGAGAGAGCAAAGGAAATATTCTAGAAAAAATTACACAAAGTTAAGAGTAGCAATATTATATAATTATAAAGAATTTGGAGAGACAAGGGGTGAAATTAGGCTGAAAAAAATTCACTTGTAATAAGACTTGATTCAATGAACTCTTTTTTTTTTTTTTTTTTTTTTTTTTTGCGATACGCGGGCCTCCCACTGCTGTGGCCCCCTCCTGTTGCGGAGCACAGGCTCAGCGGCCATGGCTCACGGGCCCAGCCGCTCCGTGGCATGCGGGATCCTCCCGGACCGGGGCACGAACCCGTCCGTGTCCCCTGCATCGGCAGGCGGACCCTCAACCACTGCGCCATCAGGGAAGCCCATTCAACGAACTCTTGATGTCATTTTTTAGCCCTCTTCCTTTGATTGAAATAATGCTATGAACCATAATAAACTATTATATTTATCTCATAGAAAAACACCAGGCCAGTGTCCTTATGAATGTGATCTATAAATTCTAATCACAGTAATCTATAATTATTTGTTTTTGCTTAAAGTCTGCAAAATGAATTACTTAAAGTGTCCAGGTAGGAAATAAAGTTAACTAAAATACTCTAATATTTTTTTAGGGATATACTGATAACAAGCAATCATTTAAAGTAAGAAATAGTTCAAAAGCATGAACTTAAGTTGACCTCAGGCATTAACCTCAGTTAAGATGATACTGTTCACTCTTTCTGCCAAAGATTATTAGTAAATAATAAAGGAGGAAAAGAGAAAAAATTTCATAAGTTCTTGGGAAATTAGACTCCGTTAATTCAATCCACATTTAGCAGATGACAGTGTATTTGGTGCTCAGTATCTGCTGAATGAACTTGTGACTGCTAACTTTAAATTTCCCACTGGATCACTGTTATTAAACTCCAGAAACATCTGAGTAGAAATCTTCTAAGTCTGGTACTCAGGTCTTCAACTTCTGGGCTCTCTGCAGGTAACAGATGCTTGAAAGACTGATTGATTGGATCCAAGGATGATTTTTTGGATCCCATCAACTAGGGATGTTGTCCTTCGTCTGTGTTTGTCAGGCTTATTTCCCAACTAGACAATTCTGTTGAACTCTGGGTACTAATCTTTCCCTGCTACCCCTTCCATACCTTCTGGAGCTACTTATTGTTATTTACGTATTTGTTTCTTTAATGACTGGCTGGTGTATTTTAGCGAAGTCCATTACTCCCTGAAGTGTTAAACCTCTAAATTGCTCCCTGAGGGATGCAGACTTGGTTGTGCCCCACTCTCTCTGGGAAGGCAGTGGTTTTGGCAGGGTTGTCTTTGACACCTTCCCTGATCACACACCCCGCTGTTAAATTCCACTAATTTCTGGCTGATAGATCTATTGTTTTCAACAGTGCCCTGGGGCATAAATTGCCCTACAGACTAATCCAATCAAATTTGGGCTCTGAAGGAACAGTTTCCCAGGTCAGGGTTTCAGATTTGTTCTGATGCCACCTCAGACTCCTCCCAGCTGTTCCCCTCCCTGCAGTTCTCTCTGGTGAACTAGCCAGCCTACAAGTTTAGCCTGTTTCTCCAATGGATCTACGAATCTTCTCCGAATTGCCTTTTACTCTACTTCTACTGTTTCTGAGAATGCTGTTAAGCTTGAATTTCTCCAGGATCTGTTGCAAATTAAGTCATTTATTTTGGGAAGACATTAGGAGCTGTTTTACCTGGTTCCCCCGACCAAGGAAAAATATTTGGTCTGTTGTGTCATTTAGCATCTCTGCTGCCTTACTGATTTTCTGTCTAGAAGATCTGTCCATCGATGTCAGTGGGGTGTTAAAGTCTCCTACTATTATTGTATTCCTGTCAATCTCTTCCTTTATGTCTGCTGCTATTTGTTTTATGTATTTAGGTGCTCCTATATTGGGTACATTTATGTTATCAAGTGTAATATCCTCTTCTTGTATTGCTCCTTTTATCATTATATAATGTCCTTCTCTGTCTTTATGTTTTAAAGACTACTTTGTTTTAAAGTCTACTTTGTCAGATACGAGTATTGCTACCCCTGCTTTCTTATTGTTTCCATTTGCATGAAATATCCTTTTCCATCCCCTCACTTTCAACCTGTGTGTCTTTTGCCCTAAAGTGAGTCTTGTAGGCAGCATATTGTACTTGTGGGCCGCATACTGTAGGTTCTTGATTTTTTATCCAATCTGCCACTGTATGTCTTTTGATGAGAATTTAGTCCATTGACATTTAAAGTAATTATTGATAGGTATGTACTTATTGCCATTTTAAGCCTTTTTTTCCAGTTTTTGTACTTCTTCATTTCTTTTTTGTTTTCCCTTTTGTGGTTTGATGGATTTCTTTTGTATTATGCTTGAGTTCCTTTCTTTTGGGTTTCTGTGACTCTATTGTACCTTTTTGATGTTTGGTTACCCTGGTTTTCAAGTATGTTAACCGTAACTATATCTACTTGCTTTAAACTGATAGTCATACAAGTTCAAACACATTCTAAAAGATCTTCATTTTTATACTCCCATTCCCTACATTTTGTGATTTTGATGTCCTATTTTACATCCTCATCCTTTTACTGTTAATTGTAGTTTTAATCATTTTTACATTTTTTTGGATTGTTTTTTAATCTATGTACTGACTTATTTAAGTGATCTTCAATCCTTTTATATCTTTGCCTTTCCTATTGTGATTTTCCCTTTCCTATAGATACTTGCTTCTTTTCTATCTAGAGAAGACCTTTCAATATTTCTTTTTAGGTTAGGCTTAGTATTGCTGTATTCTTTTAGTTTTTGCTTGTCCGAGAAATTCTTTCTCTCTCCTCCTGGTCTAAATTATAATCTTGCTGGGTAGAGTATCCCAGGGGGCAGGGTTTTCTCTTTCAGGACTTTGAATATATCATGCCACTGCCTTCTGACCTGCACAGTTTCTGTGGAGAAATAAGCTGATAGTCTTATGGGGGTTGCCTTGTAACTGACTGCTTTTCTCTATCTGCCTTTAGAATCCTCTCTTTATCTTTTGCCATTTTAATTCCGATACGTCTTGGTGTGGGTCTGTTTGTGTTCATCTTCTTTGGGACCCTCTGTGCTTTCTGTACCTGGATATCTGTTTCCTTCTTTAGATTTCAGGAAGTTTTCAGCCATAATTTTTTCAAATACATTTTCAGTCCCCTTCTCTCTTTCTTCTCCTTCTGGAACCAGTATTATGTGTAGGTTGGCATGCTTTATATTATCCCATAGATCTCATATGTTGCTTTCACTTTTCTTTTTTCATTTGTCTTTCTGTCTGCTGTTCTGACTGATTTCCATTATTCTGTCTTCCAGATCAGTTGTTCATTCTTCTGTGGCACTTAGTTTGCTATTCATTGCTTGTAGATTGGTTTTTATCTTGGCAATTGACTTGTCTAATTTTGATTGGTTCCTTTTTATAGTTTCTAGATCCTTGTTACAGTGATCTGCCTTTCTGTTGATAATCTTTCTTAATTCCTTTAGCATTTTTATTAACTCCTGTTTGAACTCAAGGTGTAATAGACCACTGAGGTCTGTTTCATGATTTGTTTTTTCAGGGGATATCTCTTATTCTTTTAATTGGGAACAGTTCCTCTCCTTCTTTTTCATTTTACTTAACTTACTCTGTCTCTGAATTTAGGAGAAACAGCTACTGTGGTCTTGAAGGGGTGCTTTTATGTGAAAGTGTCCCTGTATAGACTGTGTGAGTTCAATATTTTTGGTGTGAGGGCTAGTTTTGGTATGGATGCTAGCCACATCTTTCCTCAGAGTGTGCTGGCCATTATCCCCTTGATAGGGGATGGGATTGGTGTTGTGTTGTCCAGAGCCTGCACTGGATTTTGGATGGGGCCTCCTCTTTGCTCTGTGGCTGTCAGAGCCTTGCTGGGGGTGGGGTCTGCTCCCTGATTGTTGGCGTAGAAGCCCTGAGGGTTGGGCTCAGTAAGACTCTGTTGCCCTTAAGTATATGCTCTGTTGCAAAGGAGGTGAGTGCTGAAGCAAGTGAGGCCCATGTAGTCATAGCAGACCTATGTGCCACCATTGAAGGCATCCACAGTTCTTCCCAGAAGCAGCCCAAGGTCTTGTCCGTTTCTCCGTTGTGTTTATCCCAGACCTAGTGCTAGGCTGGTGCTGGGAGCTGGGGTGTTGTGGCTGCAGGAATTGAGGTCATTGTGCTGCTGCCTGGGGCCACTCTCCCAGGACCTGTCCACCCACAATCCAGCTCCAAGCTGGGGTGTGAGGTGGGAAGAACCAGAGCACTCTCACAGGGAAAGGAACCACTGTGTATTCCTCCCCAGGGGCTGTCTGCCAGAGACATGCGATTCTGTGATGCCACGTGGTGCGTATGCCAACAAAGTCCGCTGCCACCGTACCTGTGCCCCACCACGCATGTGCTGATGATGGGCTCCAATGGCAGACTTGTGCTCTGCATTGCAGGTACTGACAATGGGCTCTGAGGTTTGGCCTGGGCCACACCCCAGACTCTCTGGGCTGTCTCTGTGCAGCTAGACTGAGTTCACTCCCAGGGCACACAAACCCAAGATTCAGTGCCTAGCCACTGCACATACTAGCTGCCCCACCCGGCATGTGCTTCAGGCTGGGAAGTGTGATGAAGTGGCAGCCATCAGCTCTAGTCTCTTTCTGCCCTGATAGCAAGCCAGCACATGCACACAGCTTGGGATCAGAGTCCAGGCCCCTCCAGTCCCTCTATATGTCCTGGTGGAGTTCCTAGCAGTCATGGGGTTCCCAGGGTGAGGGCTTGCCTGTGTGGACCCTCCCTCCTTCACAGATGCCTCCCAGGGGCGTCTTGCGTCTTGATGCCTTTTTTTCCCCATCGTACCCAATGACATGGGGGGATGTTTCTTGCAGCTTTGGTTGTATAAGAGATCTTCTGCCAGTTTCCAGTTGGTTTGCTGTGAGAACTGTGCCACACGTAGATGTGTTTTTGAGGGGAGTGAGCTCCACATCCTCCTACTCTGCCATCTTAATGCACTTACGCAAAATTTCTGATGTGTCTCTGGAGCTGAGTGTGGGGACAGTGGCACTCTTCTCTCAGTGGTACCCCACTTTAGGAGCTAAGATGTAGGCGGAAGGAGGGCAGGAGCCTCAGGTCTTCTCTATTTGCCTCTTCCAGTGTGGAACCAACACCTTACAATCCAAGACGGGCGATTAGGACCAAAATATTTTCAGTGATGTAGCACACAAAGTGTGGAGCCTTCTTTTCAAGAGTGGGGTCTGGGTAGAAAGAAGGGAGCCCCCACCTCCTGACTGCACTTACCTGGAACTTCACTTCAACAACAGGCAGCTGGAGACAGGATAAGATATGCAAGCCCTGCCCTTCCTGGGAAGATAGCCCTCTGGCTGGCATTTGTGGGGAAAGTGGACCCTGTGTCCTTGGCTGCACTCTCCTGTAGCAGAGTATCATTGAGCTGGAAGCTGGGGGGCAGGGTGTGGAGAGTCTTGATTCAAATACCCCAGGCTCTCACTGGTTTCTTTTTGGTTGTTTTTTTGTTTGTACCCAATTTTAGTAGATTTTCCCGAATAGATGATTTTTCATTTGCTGTATGCCCTTAGGACCATTTCCAGAAACTTTAAATTTTGTTTAAAAAAATAATTTTCTCTGATTTTTGCTGGTGAGTGGGTTTGCAGAGATCCTCATGCTATCATGATGGAAGGCAATCTCTCAGCACCATCTATTTTATACTCTTGTTTTCCCATTAATTTATTTTTCTTAGTTTTAATTTATTTCTTCTTGCTATCCTGGATACATCTTTGTAAGATGCCTCAAATACTTTTCCAAGTAAGGTAAGTATAAGTGAAATTTAAATATAGCACCGTAATAAGACCCACCTCTTATCTGTCAAGATTCTTTTGTATTTTTATAAACAGTAAATAATATGAGCAAAATTTTAATCATTAATTTTACCTGGGGAAAAATCATGAAGTCTTCCTGGGTATAAGAGGAAATAATTTGCCATTCTCGTTTTTTTTTTTCAATGACTGTTAACAACCACATCAATGAATATTTACCTCTTGCTCTTCTCTGATGGCTTGCTGTGGTAGAGTTTCTTTCCTTCTTTGTTTTCAGATGTTTTTTCTTGTTTTTTTTCTAGGTAAGAGAATCATATTTAAAATCATTATCAGTATATCAAAGATAGTATGTATGTATGCAGACAGACATAAAACTATCTTAAGACTTCCACTTCTAGGAAGATGAAGTACTCGTCCTCTTCTTTCCACTAAGTACAACTAATACCCTGGGTATTACATACCAAATAAACACAAGAGGCTCTAAAAGGTGAAAAGAAGAAGGCAGATGAGGGACTTCAGGAGCAGAAGAGGAGCATGATGGTGAGTAGTTTGATGTGTTTTCTTTTTGCCTCATGCATCCCAGCCTTAGAGCTGGAGAAGTCAGCAACCCACAAATGCCAAGGAGTGAAGAAATAATGCCTGAAAACTTCCCAAATTTGATGAAAGACAGGAAGGTAAATATCAAAGAAGCTCAGTGAACTCCAAGTAAGATGAAATTTAAAAACCCACAGTAAGTCACATAAACTTTCAAAATCAAAGAGAGACTTTTGACAGCATTAAGAGAGAAGCAAATTATTACATGCAAGGGATCCTCAATAAGATCATTATCCGATTTCTCATCAGAAACTTTGGAAGCCGGAACACAGTGCAAAACAGGGAAACCCCAAAAAACAAAAAACAGCAGAACTGTCCTTCAAAAATTAGGTAGAAATTAAAGACATTTCCAGATAAACAAAAGCTGAGGGAGTTTGTGACCATTTGACATGCCTTGAAAGAAATGCCCAAGGGATTTCTGCAGGGTGAAATGAAAGGACTCTAGATAGTAAATTGAAGCTGTAGAGAAAAATAAAGGTCTCAGTGAAGTTAAATACATGGGAAATTATACAAGCTAGTAAGTACCATTGTAACAATAGTTTCAAACTGAATTTTTTGTTGTCTACATGATTTAAGAGAAAAACATTTAAAGAAGAAAAAGCATTTATTAGTATAAAGTAAGTATTAGACTACTATCACCTTGGTCTGTAACTCTAAACCTTATTTATTACATAATTTAAGAGACTAATACACTTACTTAAAGAATTATTAGTTTACGTTTTTGGGCACACAGCATGTAACTACGTAATTTGGTGACATATACAGCTGAAAGCCTGGGAGTGCAGCTGTAAAGGAACAGAGTTTTTGTATGTTTTGAAGTTAAGCTGTATCAAATTAGAGTGTTATAACTTCAGGATATTAAATGTAATCCCCCTGGTGACAACAAAGAAAAGACATATAGAATATACACAAAAGGAAGTAAGAAAGGAATTTAAACATTTCACCACAAAAAATCAACTAAACACAAAAGAAGACAGGAATGCAGGAAATGACGGACAAGAATACTATAAGGCAAATAGAAAACAGCACAGTGACAGGAGTCTCTCTTTATCAGTAATTAAACTCTCCAATCAGAAGACAGAGACTGTCAGAATGGATAAAAACACATGATCCAACTATATTCAGTCTATAAAAGACTCACTGAGATCCAAAGACACAAACTGGTTGAAAGTGAAAGGAAGGAAAGAGATATTCTATGCAAATAGTAACCAAAAGAGGGCAGGAGTGGCTCTATTAGACAAAATAGACTTTAAATTAATATAAAAATGTTACTAGAAACTACTTTAAAAAAGATATGTTAATAAAAGATTCAATACAGCAAGAAGACATAACAATTATAAACATTTACATACCTAATGACAGATCATCAAAATGTATGAAGCAAAAACTGACCGAATTGAAGGGAGAAATAGACAGTTCTACAATATAGTAGGAGACTTCAATACCCCACTTACAATAGGGAGACCAGTCAGACAGAAGATATATAAGGAAAAAGGACTTAACACAATGAGTCATCAAAACTTAACAGACATATACAGAACACTACCCAACAATAGAACACACATTCTTCGCAAGTGCATATACAGGACATTTTCCAGGATAGAACATATGCTAGACCACCAATTAAGTTTTAATAGATTTTAAAAGATAGATATCATACAAAGTATCTTTTCTTACCACAGTGGGATAAAGTTAGAAATAACAAAAGGAAAAATAAAATGTTCAAAAAATTGTGGAAATTATACACACACTTTTAAACAGTGAATCAAAGAAGTCACAAGAGAAACTAGGAAATACAGAGTTGAATGAAAATGAAAACACAACAGAGCAAAATTTATGGGACACAGTGAAAGTAGTGCTAAGGGGGAAAGTTATAACTATAAACACATTCAAAAACTAAAGATCTCAAGTCAGTAACCTAACTTTAAACTTAAGGAACTAGAAAAAGAAGAAAAAATTAAATCCACAGACAGAAGAGGAAGGAAGTAATAAGGATTAGAGCAGAGATAAATGAAATAGAAAAACTAGAGAAAAATCAATGAAACCAAAAGTTGTTGATTCTTTGAAAAGATCAACAAAATTGACAAACCTTTAGCTAAGTGGACAAAGAAAAAAAGTTAAATTACTAAAATCAGAAATGAAAGTAGAGATACTACTACCAATTCTACAGAAACAGAAAGGATTATAAGAGTATTGCAAACAAGTGTATGCCAATAAATTAGATAACCTAGATGAAATGGACAAATGACTAGAAACACAGAACTTACCAAGACTATCTCATGCAGAAATAGAAAATATGAGTAGACCTATATATAACTAGTTGAGGAGATTGAATCAGTAATGAAAATTCTCCCAACCAAAAATAAAGCCCTGGACCTGACAGTTTCTTGGGTGATCTAATGCTGATCTTTCTCAAACTTTTCCAAAAAACTGAAGAGGAAGGAACATTTCCTAACTCACTCTGTAAGACCAGCATTACTGTGATACCAAAGCCAGACAAAGACACTACAAGAAAATTATAGACCAATACCCCTTATGAACACTGATGCAAAAATCCTCAACAAAATAATAGCAAACCAAATTCAGCAGCATATTAAAAGGATTTACACCATGACCAAATAGGATTTATATCTGGAATGCAAGGATAGTTTTAACATATGAAAATTGATCAATGTAATACACCAAATCAATAGAATGAAGGGAAAAAAACACATGACCATCTCAATTAATGCAGAAAAGGCATCTGACAAAACTCAACACCCTTTCATGATTTAAAAAAACTCAACAAACTAGGCATAGAAGGAAACTACCTCACCATAATAAAAGCCATCTATAAAAAACCTACAGCAAACATCACACTCAATGGTGAAAGACCAAAAAGCACCTCCTCTAAGATCAGGAACAAGGCTAGGGTGTCTGCTTTCACCACTTCCATTCAACATAGTACTGGAAGTTCAAGCCCTAGCAGTTAAGCAAGAAGAAGAAATAAAAGGCATCCAAACTGGAAAGGAAGAAGTAAAATGATCTCTTTTGCAGATGATATATTTAAAAACCCTAGAGTCCACAAAAAACCTGTTTGAACTAATACATTAATTCAGCAAAGTATCAGGATACAAACTCAACACACAAAAACAGTTGCATTTCTATAAACAAATAATGAAAGATAAGGAAGTTACAAAAACAATTCCATGTACAAGAACATCAAAAAGAACAGAATAGTTAGGAATTAACCAAGGAGGTGAAAGAATTGTGTAACAGAAACTACAAAACATTGCTTAAAGAAATTAAAGAAGACATAAATAAATATAAACACATCCCCTGTTCATGGATTAGAAGACTTATTAATATTATTAAAATGCCAATACTGCCCAAAGCAATCTATGGATTCAATGCAATCCCTAGCAAAATCCCAATGATATTTTTTGCAGAAATAGAAAAATTCATTGTAAAATTTATACGGAATGTCAGGGAACTCTGAATGCCAAAATAATCTTGAAAAGGGAGAAGGAAATTAGAGGGTTCACACTTCCTGATTTCAAAACTTACTACATTTCTACAGTAATCAAGACAATGTGGTACTGGTATGAAGACAGACATATAGACTAATGGACAGAATAGAGAGCCCATGAATAAATCTTTGTGATTTTTGACAAGGGTGCTAAAATATTCAACAGGGAAAGAACAGTCTTTCATCAAATGGTGCTGGGAAAACTGGATATCGATTCGCAAAAGAATGAAGTTGGACCCTTACCTAGCACCTTATACAAAAATTAACTCAAAATTGATCAAGGGCCTAAGTGTAATACTTAAAACAATAAATATCTTAGGAGAAAACATAGAGCAAAAGCTTCATGACATTGGATTTGTCAATGATATGTTAGATATGACACTAAAGGCACAGGTTTAAAAAAGAAAAATAGACAAACTGAACTTAATGAAAATTTAAAAAATTTTGTGCATCACAGACACTATTCAGAGAGTAAAAAGGCAAAATACAGAATGGGAGAAATATTTGCAAATCACATACCTGATAAGGGATTAATGTCCAGAACTCCTAAAACTCAACAACAACAAAAAATAAAGCAATTCAGAAATGGGCAAAGGACTTGAATAGACATTTCTCCAAAGAAAATATATGAATGGCCAATAGGCATATAAATAGCATATAAATAGATGCTCAATATCACTAACCATTAGGGAAATGCAAATCAAAGCCACAGTGAGATATCACCTCACACCTGTTAGAATGGCCATTATTAAAAAAAAAAAAAACCCAGAAAATAACAAGTGCTGTCAAGCATGTAGAAAAATCAGAGCCTGTGTGCACTGTTGATGGGAATGTAAAATGGTATAGCTGCTGTGAAAAACAGTATGGAGGTTCCTCAAAAAATTAAAAGTAGAATTACCATATGATCCAGCAATTTCATTTTAGGGTATATAACCAAGAGAATGAAAAGCAACGTCTTGAAGAGACATCTGTACAATCATGTACATAACAGCATTATTCACAATAGCTAAAATGTGAAAGCAACCCTGGTGTCCATTGATGGAAGAATGGATTAGCAAAATGTGGTATAAACGTACAATAGAATATTCAGCCTCATAAAGGAAAGAAATTCTGAAATATGCTACAACATGGATGAACCTTGAGGACATTATGCTAGATGAAATAAACCAATCACAAGAAGACAAATACTGTATGATTCTACTTATATGAGGTGCTTAGTGTAGTCAAAATCATGAAGAAAGTATACAGTGGTTTCCAAGGGCCAGGGGGGCAGAGAATGGGGAGTTATTAATAGGTATAGAATTTCAGTTTTTGAAGATGACAAGAGTTATGGGATGGTGGTGATGGTTGTACAACAATGTGAATGTACTTAATACCACTGAAGTGTACACTTAAAAATGGCTAAGATGGTAAATGTTATGTGTATTTTTACTACAATAAAAGAATCAAACTCTATGTTTTTGAGGGGGCTACTGGAAAAGAGGGTATCTACCAGACTTAAAGTTGTGAGAATGTGAGGCTGGAATTCCATTTCGCCAGCAAGAGAGGAGAGTTTGAGAATGGAACCAACCCAGAAGAGGCAGAAATGACATTAAAATGGGGAAAAAACTTTGAATCCTAGTGATATCCTTTGAGCCCCTTATTTAAGCCATGGCTAAAGCCAGTCTCGTCCCTAGACTTTTTCCCTTACTAAGCCAACCAATTCCCCTTTTAGCTAAGCCTTTTTTTTTTTTTTTTTTTTTTAATTTGCTGTACGTGGGCCTCTCACTGTTGTGGCCTCTCCCGTTGCGGAGCACAGGCTCCGGACACACAGGCTCAGCGGCCACGGCTCATGGGCCCAGCCGCTCCGCGGCATGTGGGATCTTCCCGGACCGGGGCACGAACCCGTGTTCCCTGCATCGGCAGGCGGACTCTCAACCACTGCGCCACCAGGAGAGCCCAGCTAAGCCATTTTTTTGGAAGAGTTTTTTGTTCCTTGCAATGTATGGAGTCCTGATACATACCTTCAGAACGTGATTTAGTAGGAAGAGAAGAAAATGGTCCCCATGTCAGTAAGTGGAAGCTCCATCTTCAGTTGCTCAGGCCTGGAATTCTGGATACCCCTAGCTCTCCTTTTTACTGTTCAAACTCACACTCACGCCATCAGCAAATTCTCTAGACTCCGTCAGATATATCTAAAATCTGATCACTTCTCATCCTCTCTACGGCTGCCACCTTGGTCCAGCCACCACTTTTTCTTGCCTGGATAACTGCAGTAGCCCCTTAAATGGTCTCCCCTTGTGGTTCATCATTCTACTCTCAAAACAACAGCCAAAGTGACCTTGCTGACACTTAAAGCACATCATGTCACTCCTCTGACCAAAACTCTCCAGACTCACTTAGAGTAAAAAGTGAAGTCCTAAGCCAGGTTTTACATGATTTGTCCCCCTCAACTTCCAACACCTATCTCACTTTATCTCTTACCACTGTTCTCCTTTTTCAGTCTTCTCTACCCAAATTAGCCTCCTTGGTCTTCCTAGAAGATGACAGACATGCTCCTTTCTCATGGCCTTTGCACTTCTAGTACCTACCCCGGGAATAGATGCCCCTGGATTGTTCCCAAATTTTTACCCTTCCTATTCCATTGATGTTAGATTTGGATATATGACTTGATTTAGCCAGTGGAATGAGAAACAGGGACTTTAAACATACTTTCATGGTTTGGCGTGCCCTCCTGAACTCTTGTGATTTACCATGAGCAGAACGTACCCTAACTGGCTGCTGGTCTTGGGGTGGGGGGAGGAAGAAACATAGAATAGATCTGAAACAACCCACAGTCTGGATATAAGTTCAACTGATCCCCTATTAGCCCAGTAGAGCCATAGATGATCCATGAACAGGAAAATAGGTATTTGCTATTATAAGCTACTGAGATTCTGAGAATTTTGTTTTAATGAATAAAATATGAATAGTGTTGAAACTGATACCTAGAAATAGAATGCTGTCCTAATAAAAACCTAGATTATGTGGCAATCATTGGCTTTGTGACTGAATAACAACAGGTGGTTATAGGAACCTAGAAAGTTATGTAGAGGTGATACATTTAATAAAACTATCTTCTGTGACAGTGTGAAAGACAGAAAATATACCTAACAGAACTGAGTCATTGGGCAAAGAGATTCTGAGGCAGAAAGTTTAGACTATGAGTTAGTTGTTGCTAGCTTTATTTGATAAGGTGTGCTACAAGAAAGAAATCAGCTCAAAAAATGTGGATAAAAAAACTGAATTGAGAGGGGAAACAGAGAGCCCCAAATTCTAGAATTTGTAGGTTGGCTTCAACATAGCCTTGAGGCAAAGGTCAAATCAAAGTAATGGCTTTTACATCTGTGGTAGACAATCTCTAAGATGACCTCTGATGATCCCCATCTTTTAGTATTCATACCCTTCTGTAATCCTAGGTCACTGGGCTAAACCTAGTGACTTACTTCTACTGAATGGTATATGGCAAAAGTAATGGGATTCTGCTTCTGAGATTAGGCTACCTTCACTGCAGTCTTTTCAGAGACCTTAGATAAAGGAACCCAGATAAGCCACTCCTGGATTCTGGACCCACAGGAACTATGTGATAATAAATGTTTGTTGTTTAAAGCTGCTAAGATTTGGGGTAATTAGTTACTCAGCAATAGAAAATGAATACAACATCTGTCTTGGTCCATTCACCTGCTATAACAAAATACCTCCAACTGTGTGGCTAATAAATAAGGGACATTTATTTCTCATAGTTCAGGAGGCTGGAAGGTTGAGATGAGGGTGCCAGTATGGTCAGATGAGAGCTTTCTTTTGGGTTGTAGACTGCTTGTTGTATCCTCACAAGGCAGTAGGGATCTCTCTGGAGCCTCTTTTATAAGGCACTAATCCCATTCAGAGGGCTCTGCCCTCATGACATAATCACCTCCCAAAGGCCCCACCTTCTTGTACCATAATATAGGGCATTATAATTTCAACATATGACTTTTGGGGGACAGAAATATCTAGACCATAGCATTCCACCCCTAATCCCCTCAGATTCATGTCATTCTCACATGCAAAATTCATTCATCCCATCCCAACAACCCCTAACGTCTTAACTAATTCCAGCATCAACTCTAAACTCCACAAAGTCTTATCTCAATAACATCTAAATCAGATATGGATGAGACTCAAAATATGATTCATCCTGAGGTAAATTTCCTGTCCAGTTGTGAACCCATGAAACCAATCAAGTTATGTGCTTCCAAAATACAACTGTGGGACAGGCATAGGATAAGACATTCCCATTGCAAAAGGGAGAAAAAGGAAAGAAGGACGGGGAATGGGTCCCAAGCAAGCTCAAAACCTAGTAAAGCAGATTCAATGAGATCTTAATGGTCAAGAATAATCCTCTTGCCCCAATGCTCTGCCTTCTGGACCCACTAGGGTGGCAATAGCACGCCAACAGCTTGGCAGGGTGCTACTCATGCCTGGCTCTCTGTCCGGACTCTGCCCACACCACGGTGCACAGCTCCAGGCGGCTCACCTCCATGGCCTCTATTGGAAGCCATCTGCCCTGTTAAAACCTAGTGTTAATGGCCCTGATGATCCCTTAGTCACCTTCAGGGCTTTTTAAAATTTGTCTTCATGACACAAACAGATGGAAAGATACACTGTGTTCTTAGATTAGAAGAATTAATATTGTTAAAATGTACCCAAGGCAATCTACAGATTCAATGCAATCCCTATCAAAATACCAATGGCATTTTTCACAGAACTAGAACAAATATTTTAAAAATTTGTATGGAAACATGAAAAACCCAATAGCCAAACCAATCGTGAGAAAGAAGAACAGAGCTGGAGGAGTCACACTCCCTGACTTCAGACTACTACAAAGCCACAATCAAAACAGTATGGTACTAGCACAAAAATAAACACAAACATCAATGGAACAGAATAGAGAGCCCAGAAATAAACCCACACACTTAATGCTCAATCTATGACAAAGGAGGCAAGAATATACAATGGAGAAAAGAATCTCTTCACCAAGTGGGGGTGGGAAAACTGTACAGCTACATGTAAAACAATGAAATTAGAACATTCACTAATACCATATACAAAAATAAAGTCAAAATGGATTAGAGACCTAAATGTAAGACTGGAAACCATAAAACTCCTAGAGGAAAACATAGGCAGAACACTGACATGAACTGTAGCAGTATTTTTTGGATCTATCTCTTAAAGCAAAGGAAATAAAAGCAAAAATAAACAAATGGGACCTATTTAAACTTAAAATCTTTTGCACAGCAAAGGAAACCATAAACAAAACAAAAAGCCTGCTGAATGGGAGAAAATATTTGCAAATGATATGATTGATAAGGGGTTAACATCCAACATATATAAACCGCTCATATGACTCAACATCAAAAAAAACAAACAACCCAGGACTTCCCTGGTGGCCCAGTGGTTAAGACTCTACACTTCTACCACAGGGGGCATGGGTTCGATCCCTGGTCGGGGAACTAAGATCCCACATGCCACACAACCAAAAAAGAAAGAAAGAAAGAAAAAGAACAAGCAAACAAAAATCCAAACAACCCAATTAAAAAATGGGCAGAAGAACTGAAGAGACATTTTTCCAAAGAGAAAATGCAGATGGCCAACAGGTAAATGAAAAGATGCTCAACACTGCTAATCATTAGGAAAATGCAAATCAAAACCACAGTGAGATATCACCTCACACCTGTCAGAATGGCTGTCATCAAAAAGAACACGAATAGGGCTTCCCTGGTGGCCCAGTGGTTGAGAGTCCGCCTGCTGATGCAGGGGACACGAGTTCACGCCCCAGTCCGGGAAGATCCCACATGCCGCGGTGCGGCTAGGCCCATGGGCCATGGCCGCTGAGCCTGCGCTCCACAACGGAAGAGGCCACAACAGCGAGAGGCCCGTGTACCACAAAAAAAAAAAAAAAAAACCACGAATAACAAATGACGGCGAGAACATGGAGAAAATGGAACCCTCATACACTATTGGTGAGAACGTAAATTGCTGGATCCACTATGGAAGGCAGTATGGAGGTTTCTCAAAAATAGAAATACCATATGACCCAGCAATTCCTATCCTGGGTATACATCTGAAAAAAACAAGACCCCTCATTTGAAAAGATACATCCATCCCAATGTTCACAGGAGCATTATTTACAATTACCAAGATATGGAAGTAACCTAAGGAAATGTCAGTTAACAGATGAATGGATAAAGATGACCTGTATATATATATATATATATATATATATATACACACACACACACACACACATACATACATACACACACACACACACAATGGAATACTACTCAGCCAAAAAAAAGAGTGAAATTTTGCCATTTGCAGCAACATGGATGGACTTGAAGGGTATTATGATAAGTGAAATAAGTCAGAAAAACAAATACTGAATGATATCACTTATATGTGAAATCTAAAAAATACAACAAACTAGTGAATATAACCAAAAAGCACACTCACAGATGTAGAGAACTAGTGGTTACCAGTGGGAAGAGGGAAGGGGGGAGGGGCAATACAGGGGTGGGGAATTAAGAGGTACAAACTATTATGTATAAAATAAGCTACAAGGATAATTGTACAACATGGGGAATATAGCCAATATTTTATAATAACTATAAATGGAGTGTAACATGTAAAAACTGTGGCTCACCCCTTAGGTTCAAACTGGCAGTCTTCCTGCTGGGGTGGCTGATTAGTTCCATGCTTCATACCCACACTCATCTCCTTATCAAATGGTTGGTCCTCCACACACTTAACTGTTCTATTCTGAACACACATTCTCATTCTTTGGATTATGGATGCGCTGAGAATTTTCCAAACTTCAATGTTCTGGGTCCTTTTTGCTTAACAATTCCTTCTTCAGTTCATTTATCTCTTGCATTTAACTGTATGCAGTCAGGAGGAACCAAGCCACTCCTTCAACACTTTGCTTAGATATCTCCTCAGCTAAATATACAATTTTATCACTCACAAGTTCTACCTTGCACAAAACACTAGAACACAAATGCAATTCAGCCAAGTTCTTTACCATTTTATAGCAAGGACTGCTTTTTGTCCATTGTCCAGTAACGTGTTCTTCATTTTTGAGACCTTATCTGTACATGATTACTTATGTATTGTCTAAAAAGATGGACACTTACTCTCCCACTCTCTTCCTTTCTTTCTGAGCTCTCTCCACAATCACCTGCAGAAGTCCCTACATGGCAATATCAGCATTTTCTAACATGTACCAATAGAGTACTGTCTTAGCTTGTCTTGGTCACCTCCTAGCACCATCACACTGGAGGTCAGGGTTGGGGCGGGGGCACATTCAGTACTAATACCACCTGAGCTCCCTAATCCTCCTGCTCTGATCTCCTCCTTGGGCACTTCTGATCATCTAACACATCATATATTTTACTTACCAACTAGAATATAAGTTACAGAGGGAGGGATTTTTGTCTTGTTTTGTTCACTGCTCTATTCCCAAGCACATAGTTGGGGCTCAGTACGTAGTTGTTAAGTGAATGAATGAATGGATATAGGACTAGCAGTCAGGTGACGTATGTTATGCTACCAACTCTCAATAACAAGCGGTGTGGCTTTTGAAATGTAATTTAGTCTCTCTGGATCTTAACTGTTCTCATCAATAAGCCAGAGTATTAAAAAACCCTATGGTTAGAAAATTCTGTGATTTAAGGATACGGTACATAGTAAGAAAATAACAATTATGATATACAATAATTATACAACTGCAAACTTTTTTTTTGCCTGATTGTTAGTCATAATAAGAAGAGTACTTATTTGGCATGTCCATATCATAGGCAGAAATTTTCAATCGTACCTGAGAACTTAACTTGAGAAGATCAGTCTGAGAGTCACTGGATTCTGAACTGTCAGAGCCATGGCTACTACAAAAAATAATAAATTATTTTAATTTACAGAATGTTTTGGTGGTATTTTAAGATTTCAACTGTTACTTTTACTTTAGTATCTTATTGGAATGGTAGAAATAGTTCTAATTATAAGAAGAATGTTTACAAAGGTGGTATAGATGTTTAGTAGTTCTAGGCATTATAAGAGTATTAGAAGAATGATGACTGAAATTGATTGGAACACGTCAAATATAAACAAATCTATGAGTTCAAAATGATACTCTCTATCTGCAAACAATACAGGGGCACTAACTCAAAGTCTGAAAATTTATAAATAAAGGGGAAGAATCAAACATTTGTTCTGCTTTTCCTATAGGAACTGCACTAAAATTAGCACCTTCCTTCTTCCAATAACATTCCCTTGGCATTAAATTTTGCACTTATTATTCACTAACTTAGATTATTTATATGGCATCTCTATAAGTGTGTCAGTTCTCTGTGGGTAATGACAGCATTAAAAACAATTTGAATATGTCTTTCATATACAGTACATAGTGGGTGCTCAATTAATATCATCTAAATAAATGAATAAATGAAGCCTTGATGAGGTCTGGCTAAAGTAATGTGCATGGGAAAAATCTTCCTCCACCTATAGTCAGGATTTTCAGTACAGACTGAAAATTACATCCTCATGTTATTATAAAGAGCATAGTATCAGTAGAACAGCACAGCAAATTACATCACTACCACCATCCTGACTTACCTAGACTCTAGATCCAATGTAATTTCTTTCAGAGGAGTATCTGAATCATCAAGGACTTCTTCCAAGTTTATATGTTTTTCCATTTCTTCTAATTCTTTCAGGCACTGATAATACTAGGGGAAAATGATAGATGAGTTAATTATAAAATAACTATTTCCTAATTAAACTGAATATTTATAGATACCTGGAACATCAAGTACAAAAAACACTGAACACTGTTAGGATATTAAAAGGAACAAACTGCTGTAGGCCCACAGGCAGGTTATGTTATCTGAGAGACTGGAGTCTGATGTATCATCAAATGGACTTTACTTACCTTGGTTCGGTCTGGATCACAGTAGTCCAAGAGAGAATCACAAAAATGATACCCCATCGACTCCAAGTCTTTTGTGTTGAAATGAGTGCCTCTTTTATTACCTAAAACATCAGTAAGTTTAGCCACCCTTGAAGGTGACTTAAACATATTTTCTTAGCAGGTAGGCCCTAAGTTGCCCAACAAAATGTAAACAAAACATCTGATATGATTCCATATTCTGTCCTTTGGATTTTCTACACTGGGACAGGTCATTTAACAGCTTATTGCTTTCCCTTGTTCCTTCTCCACCACCTGGACCAAAGGTGACTTAATACAGATTAGTCTGTGTTGCAAAGCAGAAGAAAATTCAGTAAGAAAGTTATAGAATACTTGGTTACCAGTTATAAGCACCCTAGTTATCACTTAGAGGAAAACCTGGGTAAATATTTTAATGTTTTCATCATCATTAATAGTGTTATAAGAATTTCAAGGTGCTTTAAAAACTAGCCAGAAGTTACAAGTGTGGATTTCCAGCACTTTCCTTTGAGTTGATACATTTTCTAATAATGTGACAATTACCTTAATATGGGGCATTCTAAGGATAATGTTAAATGTGACTGAAAGCTTTCTTAAATGGAACTAGGGCACACTTTCTAGTTCAAGGAACCAATTAAAATACAAATTGACAAAAAACAAAAACAAGGCCCAGTCTAAGTTTGCCTTAAAAATGGCAAATCTACTAAAGAGATTTCTATCCTGATATTTTAATTATGAGCATTGCTTTTTCTTGAAATCATTAGAGTCATCTGTAGGAACCCCTTCTAAAACAAAAACAAAAACCCCAAACAAGCAATTAAAGATTAGTTCATGAAACAACCAATTAGGTATTCTATGTATGTGCTAAAACTTCCTTTTCTAAACAAAGGAAAATGATGATAGAGATATATAGTGGGAGTGTGTTTATTCATCCTATCTATAGAATTGATTAGATATCAGTATGTATCTAAGCAGGAAGAAAGTGCTCACGATCCAGTTGCCTACACTATTAATCTTACATTAAAAACGTCTCTTTGGTTTAAAGCTCTGACAGTCATGAATGAGGACACTTGATCTTACCCAGAGTAGATCCACAAAAAGTGGCCTCCATGGTAAAGCTGTTCCTGATTCCCATTTTCCACATTACCACCCTTCCTATTCCCTCTTTGCTCTTCTGAATATTAAACTTGCAAGCTGAGAATGAAAACTGAAAAGACGCAAATAAAAATGAGACCCATTGCTTTTCTAATCACAATGTCTTTCATAGGAAGTAAGGTTGGAAGTGAAAAAGTAGTTGTGCAAAAGCAATAATTCTCTCTAAAGCTTCGGGAGCTTTTATATCCTGACCAATGAAAATAACTCATTTTAAGGATGACATATTTACATTTCTGAGAATTATAGACTTAAATTCTGAAATAAATTTTATTTTTTATCTATATATAACATATGCATTCAAAACCAGCTGATGAATTCTTCATAGTGTTGACTTTAGAAGGCTATAGGAAGGAGCCTAAACATGTTTAGGAATGAAGATCAGTGTTGTAGATTTTCAGAATCGAATAAAGATGCTTTATTATCACATGAAAGATAATTTGAAAGTCGCCCTCAAGGACTGTTATAACATCAGTATCTACAATGAGTTTTTGTCATTTAATTACAATTAAAAAAATTTACTTTGTGTTCCATTCTGTGAATTTTAACACATGTATAGGTTTGTGTAAACACTACCACAAATCAGGATATAGGACAATTCCATCACCTCTTAAAAACTCCCTTGTGCCATCCCTTTGCAGTCACAAGTATTTCACTTATTTTGGAGTGATGGTAAATGATATTCTTTTAAATTTTGGTTTCCAGTTGTTCACTGTGAGTATATAGAACTGCAGTTGGTTTTTGTGGGTCGACCTTGTATCCTATGACACTGCTAAACTCAGTTCTAGGAGTTTTTGTGGATTGCATGGGTTTTCTATGAACACAATCACGCCTGCCTTTCCAATCTGTCTGCCTTTTATTTCTTTTTCTTCCCTTATTGTACTTGTTAGAACCTCCAGTATAAGGCTGAGTTGAAGGGGTAAAAGTGGATATCCTTGCCTTGTTCCTGACCTCAGGAGGAAGACAATCAGTCTTTTATCATTAAGTACGGTGGTAGGATATTGGGCATTTTTTTTCATATCTCAAATTACTGGTCATTAAACATTTCACACAGTTGCTTTCTTATGGTCAATTTTATAAACCAATCAGAATAACTAAATAAAAAAGCAGTTTACTGACTAAAATTATCCATTTTGCTGTCTTGCATGGGCAACATGTAGTAAAGGAAAAGTCAAAATATTAAAGGCGCTTACTTTATCTGGACAATTTTTGCTCAGCCTAAGTGGAAAGATTCGTTGCTGTAAGTATAATGCTTTACATCTGTCACTATCATCACAGCCATACATGAAGATGTTCTCTTTCTTACTATGGCCATGAAGGTCACAATACAAAATAACCTCTCGTTTCTCCATCAATCTACGAAGAAGAAAAAGAACAAGTTACTACATTTTACCTCTGCATTTTTCTTCTATGGCTGTAATTATGGATTAACAAGTCTAATATCCAAATAAACAGAATTTCTTATATCCTAGTTTTCAGTTTCTTTTCTTACCTCTTATGATTATTAACATATAATTTTTTAAACACCTACAATAAGTTCCTACTAACTGTATATAAAATATGAATGTTTTAGCCTTCCAGTATAAGGACAAAATTTTTACCTTACTCCCAAGACTTTCTCCAAGAGGATCTCTCTGCTTTTTTGATTGTTTTTTTTGTTGTACACAGAAAACAGCTCACTCTTACCTTTGCCTTTTAGCTCTCACATAGATTCTTTCTGACTGAAGTATCTTCTTTCTTCATCTTTGTAAATGCAAATACTACCCCTTATCCCTCAACACCAACCTCATGTCTCACTTCCTCTCTGACTAGTCAAGCCCACAGACTTTTCTTTTTTGAACTCCTGTAGCACTTAATGTTGGTACCATTTACTTGGCACTTGCCTAGGTAAGTTTTCATATTTTTGATATTTAATCAAATATGGATAGGGAATGCTTCAAAACATCTAAAACAGTGCTATGCACACAAGTACCAAAATATGTGTTAAAAATTGAGTGCCTGACGACTTAGTGCTGAAGCCAATTAATATTTAACTTTTGAGTAATGTGGTGAGTAAATATCATTTTGAGAAAAATAGTACCAAAGTTTGAATTGATTGTTCTTCTGGTAAATTTCTAATAAATAATTTAAAGAAATCATTTCTCAAGAGCACAATTCTTAGCCTGCATAATTTAGGCATTCAGTGAATATTAAAGTAATAAAAAATAAGTCCCCCAAACTGGTTGATGAAAATAACTAGTAGAGAGGCTTTCAAAAGCTGAAAAAGTGGTGGTGTTAAGGTGGCAGGATTACCGACATTTTTGCCTTTATTTTCATATCATATTTCCAAACTTCATATAGCATTATTATATTACTTTAATAACTAAAATTACATATACTGTTTGTTATATCTGGAAGAATAAATGCCAAATGTTAATAATTTATAGTAACATGAAATGTAATACTTTTATAACAAAATATTAAATCCTAAAATCTAAATATTCAAAGTGTAGCTTCTATCCAAAACAATACTTCTTTAAGCTATAGTGAAATCCCAAGCTGAAGTCTGTTACATGTATTAATTTATTGCCCTTTTTCATTTGATGACCAGTAAATTCTAACTGATAACATAAAATTGACATAAAGTCACCAAATGATCATTACAAGTTAGCTCCCCAGTTTTAATGAACATTTGGTTTCTTAAGTGAGTCAGAAGAAACCTCTAAGTAATTAAATCCCAAAGAAATGTTACTACTTTTGAAGTCAAACAGCATAATAGGGTCTCTCATCTTAACACTAATTTAAATCACTTTAGAAACAGTTGGGATTTCTTTCTTAGCCACAGTTAAGATATTCTAAGTACCTTACACTAAGTATCCTATATTAAAAGCTACTCTCTATTATTCTCAAATACTTTAAATATATTTAGTTTTAGACATACTTACAGCCTCTCACCTTTCCACACGTATGTGACTGACTTTTATTCCATTTATCTGCCTATGATTAATTAATTGCATTAAAGTAGTTCTCTTTCTTGGAAGTCTTTCTGAAACTTATTGAATAGATTCCTGCCTTAACCTTCTTATGAGGCAATTTAAGAAGAACAAAGACATATAAAATATCTTCCACAGAGACAAGCCAAAGGGCCTTGGCCTGTAATCCATCTTGTGTCGGGCCAGGCACCCTTAATGTCAAAGAACATTAAGTAGACATTATAAATACTCTAATTGGCATCCCATCAGCTCCCTTTCTATTAAAAAATAAACTTTAAATTTTGGAATAACTTCAGATTTACACAAAACTGGCAAAATAGTAGAGAGAGTTTCCATATATCTACCCCTCATCCAGTTTCCCCTAATGTTAACATATTACATAACCATGGCACATTGTCAAAAACTAAGGAACCAACGTTGGTACATTACTATTAAACTCCCAACCTTATTTGGATTTCACTAGTTTTCCCAATAATGTCCTTTTTCTGTCCCAGAATCCAATCTAGGATACCACATTGCATTTACTCAGCTCTCTTCATTGTGTGCCATCCCCAGGAAAATAAGTTATGGGTTACTCTTTATGACTTAAATATTTCCCAAATAATTTCAGAGAATTCTGTAGTCCACATTTGTGAGGGGTATAAAACAAGAGTTTTTACTCATTTTTGTGGGGATCTGCACTTCACTCCCCATGTGTCTATAAAAATAAAAGGATTAACATGAAAGGTGAGGCTGAACTAAGTAACTAGAGCCATGCTGGGTGCTCCTGAAGCCTGTCAGCTCCTCTGAGGGACTGGAGGTATCTTTGAGGTCCTCCTCCTTGTAACAGGGCTCTTATGCTTTTACTAGGGGCCCTGATGACAGAGCTGGATGAGGATATAAACACTCTCTATAATAGTACTTATTATTGTAACATTTGAACAATCCTAAATAGTTTACAAAGAGTTATTACATCTATATCTAATTCATTAACTTCTTTTCTTTTTACATTTGTGGAAACACTGAATACATTTAGAGCTTCCAATGTTCCAGTAATATTGGGCACTTTATTCTGGGCACTTTAGTAGTAATATTCTCATTTAATCCTCTTGTCCGTGAGGTAAGCATTATTATTCCCACTTTATAGATGAGAAAACTGAGGTTTGGGTTTGTTTTTAAATTGCTCAATATCACACAGTTAGCAAATGATATAGCAGGGATTCCAATCTGATACGTTTTCACTCTAGTCTCCACATTCTTAACCAAAAAGGTTAAGAGGATTTGGGTGTTCTTTGACTCCAATAAATCTTTCTACTCTTAGCAATGCCTATTCCTGATTGTTATTACTTGAATCTATTAAAGAATTCACCCAGTAATTCAACAAAGCTTTAAATACTACGTGCATTTTACTGTTCTGATTCTTTAGAAAATTTAAAGCTGTTCATTTTTTCCAGGGGCAAATAAGACTATTCATGAAAGTTTAAATAAGTATGTAACCTGTCATCAAAAGACTCATCATAGAGCAATGTATGGTCAACGTAGTGCCAGAAGGCTCTGTAGATGTAATTAATTTTCACATATAAGGGATTCAAGGATCCCAAAATAAACATCAGTGCTACCATTAACTTTAGGAAGAAACCAAATTTTAGGATAGGCAAATGTAACTATACATTTTCACTAAGCCATTAAAATGTTCTAGAGTCTATTTCATTACTTAAAAGAAAGCTAGTGAACGTAGTGGCATAATGCCAGAAAGGTACAGAAGCAGAGTTGGGAAGAATGAGGAAAAAAATTAAGTAGCTATAGTTAAACTATCTTAAGAAAATCTAGAGTAAAATGACTGGGATTGTGGGAGCAAAATTCTTACTACCAAGTTTACTAAATAAGCACAGGGTAATTTGATGCTTATTTTACCTACGGATCATGTTCCGGGTATACCAAACAGAAGGAAATGACTCCTTCAGGAATAGTTAAGGTTTAAATCCCATCCAGCTAAGGAACACCGATAATTTCCCACAATCACACCATCTGGATTCAGCGTGAGTCCCACCTTGAAGATGAAAGTGTCCTGGAGCAACTGTGTATCACTTGAGTCTCCTAAAATATAATCTAGGAAGCCCTTCATGATCCAAGAGCTGTGGTTTCTCCTGGATGTACCCTTGCAGTCAAAATCATGGCCTTTCACTTTCCTGACTGACTGTTCTTCAAGGGGGTAGTAATCGTTAAAACATACACCATGTTCCTAGTAATTGTGTGGTACGAGACACGTATTTTCCAAAGCTTTGACTGTATTGGGTCATTATTGATGCTAGAAAGGTATTCTTGCAGGTTTGTGTAAGTGTATGGATAGCAGTGAGCAAAGTAGCAGGTATCTTTATTGTGTGGAAATTGAAATGCCCATGTAAGAGAAATAATGGCACCCGTCTTGCCCCTGGTTGCTTCTATAATACTTCATTTGGTCTCCTATTCTCTGCCAGCCAATATTATGAGCGTTGGCCTCGTTTTCAGAATAAAACAGTGGGTGCATACCCCGATTATAAAGACTAGCAGGCTTGGTGAAATGGATAATAGTGAATCTGTAGACTATTCCTGCTTGGGTATTAGTGACTTGGAAGTAGTACCACTGGGTGTGTTTATTTGTGAACAGGTCAGGGCACACAGTCATCTGGTATTCATATTCTGCCCTAAGACACAAAAAAAGGAAGGGGAAAAAAAGCACATAAAAATGTAAAAATGACATTCAAGTTTAAATTAAATAATAAAAGTAATAATAAATATACAAATGATAAACTACCTATTCACAGAAAGCTTTTTATTTGGGAAACAACATTTATTTAGGAAATGTCCAATAAGCAAGTAATTGCAAAAAATCAAAGTTTTGAAGCTTTCTCTTTTATTGGATGCAAAACTGCTTCTATGTGAATTCTAAAGTCTTTTTACTCCTTTGTATTCGAGAGAGCACATAAAAAAATGGGCATTTGACAAAAATTATATATGTCAACCCAGTTATGTTTCCTATAAAAGAAGTGACTAAAGAGTTCTTAAGTTTTTAAGAATTCAAGCCCAATGTTTCTTTTTTTACTTCAGACGTATATTTCTGTTTTATATAGATTCTAGCTCTAGGAATCTGAAATACCTATCACTAAGAAAGGTTAAAAACCTATATAAATTACTATGAGCATATGGATTATAAAACTGTAAACTCTGAGAGGACAGGAACTGTATTTCATAACTGTTTGCATCCCCCATACCTAATCACTGAAGATACTTAAAGGCAAAAATAATTTCATTAGTATATTACTTATATATCTAACAATTTTACCTGGTTAGTTGTGACGTTTTTTACCAAGTACTTCCTATTCTATCAGCATTATGCACTTATTGTGTGTGTATATGTGTTTGTGTGTGTAGTTATAAACAGTGAACTAGGAAATGAATGTTGTAAAACCTTCAGAGCCATTGAATCTAGGTGATGGGTATATGATAGTTAATGTAGAACTGTATTATGCTCTGTACTTAAGTGTATGTTTAAAATTTTTCATAAAAATTTTTAAAAAAAAATATCCTTGGATTGCAGGCATGTTCCCAGGCACGTTTTACAGAACACTCATCTGAAGAACTACTCCATTAAGCAGTCTGAGAAGCGGTGTGTGTGTGTGTGTGTGACAATTCATACTGGCATACTGAAAATGTACATTACAGAAACCTGTTTAACTTTAATTCATAGTTCTCAAAATTGTTTGAATCCAGAACCTTCCATATCTACCCCCTTAAAATAATCTCTAAGTAGCATCTATACTTCAAGGAATTATAGTTCAGTAATGGATACTAAAACTAATGTATCTAATACAGGAAATAATAAATAGTTGATAGTCTACCTCCTCAAATAAAAATAATCAAAACCTACACTTTGACTACCGTCTGTAGATTACCACTCTCAAACCTTGCTTCAAACATCAAAGTATCATCACAGTTATTCACAGGCTGCTTCAAGGGTGTTCGGTTGCCCCCAACTTGGGAATACACAAAACAAGGCTCTTTGTAGGCTGATGAGAAACCATAAAGATATCAAGCCATAGCTAAAGTATATAGGCTATTCTGCATAGAGTTTGGAACTACAGTATAACTGAAGTGTCACTAAGGATTATAAATTTTAACATAATTTGACACTAGCATATAGGTTTATGTTGAAATAAGTAAGTCTGAGTATTTAGACTAGAAGAGCAATGCCTGAAACAAATTCATATATTTCTCACAGTAAAAATACTTACTCTACTTCTGGTTATAATGAAGTAATTGGTCCTGAAGTCATCTTTTCACTGCAAATAACTATAAAACTGGACAAAAAATATGAATTAACTGTTTTCATGCATTTGGACAACACAAATACCAGAACTACATATGGTTCTTGAAAGAAGGTAAATACATGAAATAAGCCCATGTTTAATTCTTGTTTTCTTCCTGGGGGTACTTTTTACCTCTTAGGAAGATGGCACTTAAGGATAGCATAACAGTCATGTTGAGCTGAGGAGGTGAGACTGTTGCCTGGGGCTGCTGAAATTGGTACCCTGGGTACCAGAGAGAAGAACGCTACGTAGAGGGAGGGCTTCAATAGTCTACATGGTGGTTCCCCGGTCCTTGGCTGAAGGCTTGGCTCTACAAGCATAGGATAAGACTAGGGAAGATAGGACAGAGTGCTACTGTGGGACTGAGATACCAGAGGATAAACATTCTAGGATATATTGAAATTCAACCTATCCATAATACAAGGACTTCACTGAGCACCTCAGGCGTTCAATCGTGACTCTAGAAAGGTTGTGTATTAGGCATAAGAACCACATTCAGGAGTAAGGGCCATGACCTAGGACTACGGACAAAATGAAAACACCTGCTTTTATAAAAAAATAAACCAATTCCAAAGGAAGCAAAATGATTTACCAGCAATTTAGCTGCCTACCAGAAAAAAATTCAGCATAATTTTTAAAAAGAACATAATACAAACTCCTACAACATATCTTTCACAATTTCCCACATATGATAAAAAAAAATTATGAAGCACACAGAGAAGAAGGAAATGTGATCCAATAAATATTTAACAGACCCAGAGATAACTCAGATGGTACGATTAACAGCGAAGGACTTTGAATATATGTTAAAATACTTAAAGGAAAAGATAGAGATAGTGAATAAACAGATCAAGTAATTCAAAAAAAGAAGAAATGTTAACTATAAAAAGAATGAAATGAAAATTCTAGAAATAAAAAGTACAATAATGGAAATGAAAGATTTACCAGATGGGCTTAAGAGAAACTGAATATTGCAAAGGAAAGACTCAGTGAACTTAAAAACAAATGAATACAATTATCCAAACCCAAGGCCAGAGGAGAAAAAAAGAACAAAGACCCAGTGACATGTGGGAGATAGCTAGAAATTTACCATATGGATTGGAGTTGGAATTCCAAAGGACAGAAGAGAAAGAATATTATGGAGAAAATATGTGAAGAAATAATGGCTGAAAATTTCTCAAATTTGGAAAAAAACAAAGAACACTATTAAATTATGGATCTAAGAGGTTCAGCAAACTCCAAGCCAGATAAATATAAAGATAACCAAATCTAGGCAGGTCACAGTCAAATTGCTGAAAATAGCCAAACAGAAAAAGACACATATAAGGAACAATGATATAAATTATGGCTGACTTTTTACTAAAGACAACAATGTCATGAGACAATGGAACAATATCTTTAAAGAAAGAAAAATATTTAAAAGAAAAAAACGTAAACCCAGAATTCTATATACTCAGTTGTTTGGGGACTTCCTTCTCCTACAGCTACAGGTTTGGAAACCATTCTGTTCTCTTACCCCTTCAGGCCTAGGAGAAATAATGGTTCTGCTCTATTGACAATTCTATGTTGCTTCAGCATCCCTTATTAGTCTCCCTTAATTCTGTCCACCCTTTTGTAAGTTATCCTTTCATTAAAGTTTCTTAAATTACTCTATGTAAGCTATCCACTTCCTGACAAGACCTTGACCGACTCACCTCAACTACTTTAATTTCATATTAGATCTCATTGATGTGTGAAAGTTATGAGGTACATTAGCTGTGTAAATATTTGAAATCAAATATAAAAAATCAGAGGTGCTTTTCTCACCCCAGTTGCTTAAAAATGCATGAGTATATGATTTCTGTTATTGCTTACTGTATAAGAAGGAATTCCCGTGAATTTCTCTGTTTTGCCAGCTCTTTAAATAAAATACATTTGCTTCCTGGAAGTCATCTTTAATATATAGTCTAAGATATTAGGTTGGCCAAAAAGTTCATTCTGGTTTTTCCATAACATGTGATGGTGAAACTGTACAGGAGTCCCATACTTCCTTACATTGGTGCTTCAGGAGCAGCGCAGTTTAGAATATAGGTTGAGACTTCTATGTTTGATTATTAGCATACTCTATCATGAAGCAGAGATTCTGCATTACCAGAGCTCTCAAGGTGCAATTATTAATCCTGAGTGTTAAGAACACTGTCCTGAGATGTAATCTTAGATGTTATTTGCAATGTGGGATATTTTCCTCTTTTCAAGAATGCAGTCCCAAGAAATGCATCAAACTGGCATAATATGAAAACAAATCGCCTGAAAGACTGCATGAAAATGACCTATAGATGGAAAGGGAATGATAGCTGCAGAGCACTCCGCTGGATTTATCTTTGAAAACTGATGCAAAGCTTAATTCCATCGCAATAAGACTCTTCATTCTCATGGTCAACATGATGCTTTATCTTAAAGTAAGTATGCATAAGCTGCAATATGCACCTTCAAGAACATAATTAGCACTGTATCAACATTTGGATTAATATGTAACCAGACATGTTTGTGGAGTCAGGGACTTCCTGTTAATTTACAATTTCCACTATAAACAGCAGAACAAATATAACTAAGAGATTAGCCCAGGGACCAAGTTATTTTTTATAGCAACATGTCTCATATACCCGCCATCTTCAGCTAGGTAAACCACAGGATCCTCCTTGGAGCTTGGATAAAGGGGTTCTATCTCCAGGCCTGTTGGGATGTACATTCGCTCAGGATTAGAAGGGGTCCAATCTGGAGAAAAAGAGAAAACAGAGGGACCTTCAAGATGGCAGAGGAGTAAGACGTGGAGATCATCTTCCTCCCCACAAATAAATCTACACGTGGAACAACTCCTACAGAACACCTACTGAACGCTGGCAGAAGACCTCAGACCTCCCAAAAGGCAAGAAACTCCCCATGTACCTGAGTAGGGCAAAAGAAAAAGAAAAAACAGAGACAAAAGGATAGGGACGGGACCTGCACCAGTGGGAGGGAGCTGTGAAGGAGGAAAGGTTTCCACACACTAGGAAGCCCCTTAACTGGCAGAGACTGGGGGTGGTGGTGGGGGAAGCTTCAGAGCCACGGAGGAAAGCACAGCAACAGGGCTGCAGAGGGCAAAGCAGAGAGGTTCCCGCACAGAGGATTGGTGCCAACCAGCACTCACCAGCCTGAGAGGCTTGTCTGTTCATCTGCCAGGGCGGGTGGGGGCTTGGAGCTGAGGCTCGGGCTTTGGAGGTTGGATCCTAGGGAGAGGACTGGGGTTGGCTGCATGAACACAGCCTGAAGGGGACTAGTGCACCACAGCTAGCCAGGAGGGAGTCTGGGAAAAGGTCTGGAGCTGCTGAAGAGGCAAGAGACTTTTTCTTGCCTCTTTGTTTCCTGGTGCGTGAGGAGAGGGGATTAAGAGTGCCGCTTAAAGGAGCTCCAGAGATGGGTGCGAGCCGGGGCTATCAGCACGGACCCCAGAGACAGGCATGGGACGCTAAGGCTGCTGCTGCAGCCACCAAGAAGCCTGTGTGCAAGCACAGGTCACTATCCATACCGCCTCTCCTGGGAGCCTGTGCAGCCGGCCACTGCCAGGGTCCCGTGATCCAGGGGCAACTTCCCCGAGAGAACACGTGGCGCACCTCAGCCTCTTAAAACGTCATGCCGCCCTCTGCCGCCGCAGGCTCGCCCCGCATCTGCACCACTCTCTCCCCCTGGCATGACTGAGCCAGAGCCCCTGAAGCAGCTGCTCCTTTAACCCCGTCCTGTCTGAGCGAAGAACAGACGCCCTCTGGCGACCTACACGCACAGGCGGGGCCAAATCCACAGCTGAGCCCCAGGAGCTGTGCGAACAAAGAAGAGAAAGGGAAATCTCTCCCAGCAGCGGATAAAATCTCCACAATCAACTTGAGGTACCTGCGTCTGTGGAACACCTGAATAGACAACGAATCATCCCAAAATTGAGGCAGTGGACTTTGGGAGCAACTGTCGACTTGGGGTTTGCTTTCTGCATCTAATTTGTTTCTGGTTTTATGTTTATCTTAGTTTAATATTTAGAGCTTATTGTTGTTGGTAGATGTGTTTATTGATTTGGTTGCACTCTTCCTTTTTTTAAATTTATATTTTTTCCTTTTTTTCTTTTTGTGACTGTGTATTTGTATGCTTCTTTGTGTGATTTTGTCTGTATAGCTTTGCTTTTACCATTTGTCCTAGGGTTGTCTGATTTTTCTTGGTAGTTTTTAGCACTTGTTATCATTGGTGGATTTGTTTTTCGGTTTCCTTGCTCCCTTCTTTATTTTTATTACTTTTGTTTTTAATATTTATTTTTTATTTTAGTAACTTTATTTTGTTTTACTTACTTTCTTTTTTTTCCCCTCCCTTTCCTCCCTTTTCATCTGAGCCAAGTGACTGACAGGGTCTTGGTGCTCTGGCTGGGTGTCAGACCTGAGCTGAGTTCAGGATACTGGTCTACCAGAGACCTCCCTGCACCACATAATATGAAATGGTGAAAGCTCTCCCAGAGATCTGCATCTCAACACAAAGACCCTGCTCCACTCAACGACCAGCAAGCTACAGTGCTGGACACCCCATGCCAAACAACTAGCAAGACAGGAACACAATCCCACCCATTAGCAGAGAGGCTGCCTAAAATCATAGTAAGTTCACAGACACCCTAAAGCACACGACCAGATGTGGTCCTGCCCACCAGACAGGTAAGATCCAGCCTCATCCACCAGAATACAGGCACCAGTCCCCTCCACCATGAAACCTACACAACCCAACTGAACCAACCTTACCCACTGGGGTTAGAAACCAAAAACAACGGGAACTAGGAACCTGCAGCCTGCGAAAAGAAGACCCCAAACACAGTAAGTTAAGCAAAATGAGAAGACAGAGAAACACACAGCAGATGAAGGAGCAATGTAAAAACCCACCAGACCTAACAAATGAAGAGGAAATAGGCAGTCTACCTGAAAAAGAATTCAGAGTGATGATACTAAAGATGATCCAAAATCTTGGAAATAGATGGAGAAAATACAAGAAACGTTTAACAAGGAACTAAAAGAACTAAAGAGAAAACAAACAATGATGAACAACACAATAAATGATATTAAAAATTCTCTAGAAGGAATCAATAGCAGAATAACTGAGGCAGAAGAATGGATAAGTGACCTGGAAGATAAAACAGTGGATATAACTACTGCAGAGCAGAATAAAGAAAAAAGAATGAAAAGAATTGAGGACAGTCTCAGAGACCTCTGGGACAACATTAAACGCATGAACCTTCAAATTATAGGGAATCCCAGAAGAGAAAAGAAAAAAAAATGAACTAAGAAAATATTTGAAGAGATTATAGTTCAAAACTTCCCTTATGTGGGAAAGGAAATAATCAACTCCAGGAAGCACAGAGAGTCCCACAGAGGATAAATCCAAGGAGAAACATGCCAAAACACATATTAATCAAACTATCAAAAATTAAATACAAAGAAAAAATATTAAAAGCAGCAAGCCAAAAGCAACAAATAACATACAAGGGAATCCCCATAAGGTTAACAGCTGATCTTTCAACAGACTCTGTAAGCCAGAAGGGAGTGGCAGGACATATTTAAAGTGATGAAATGGAAAAATCTACAAACAAGAGTACTCTACCCAGTAAGGATCTGATTCACATTTGATGGAGAAATTAAAACCTTTACAGAGGTCTTTCCTGGTGGCGCAGTGGATAAGAATCCACCTGCCAATGCAGGACACATGGGTTCAAGCCCTGGTCCAGGAAGATCCCACATGCCACGGAGCAACTAAGCCCATGCGCCACAACTATTGAGCCTGTGCTCTTGAGCCCGCGAGCCACAACTACGGAAGCCCACACACCTAGAGCCCGTACTCTGCAACAAGAGGAGCCACTGCAATGAGAAGCCCGTACACCACAACGAAGAGTAGCCCCGGCTCGCCACAACTAGAGATAGCCTGTGTACAGCAATGAAGACCCAATGCAGCCAAAAATAAAATTTAAAAAACCTTTACAGTAAAGCAAAAGCTCTTTAAGAGAATTCTGCACCACCAAATCAGCTCTACAACAAATGCTAAAGGAACTTCTCTAAGCAGGAAACACAAGAGAAGGACAAGACCTACAAAAACAAACCCAAAACAAGTAAGAAAATGGTAATAGAAACATACATATCAATAATTACCTTAAATGTAAATGGAGTAAATGCTCCAACCAAAAGACACAGACGCTGAATAGATACAAAAACAAGACCCATATATATGCTGTCTACAAGAGACCCACTTCAGACCTAGGGACACATACAGACTGAAAGTGAGGGGATGGAAAAAGATATTCCATGCAAATGGAAATCAAAAGAAAGCTGGAGTAGCAATTCTCATATAAGACAAAATAGACATTAAAGACTATTACAAGAGACAAAGAAGGACACTACATAATGATCAAGGAATCAGTCCAAGAAGAAGATATAACAATTGTAAATATTTATGCACCAAACATAGGAGCACTTCAAGACATAAGGCAAATACTACCAGCCATAAAAGGGGAAATCGACAGTAACACATTCATAGTAGGGGACTTTAACACCCCACTTTCACCTATGGACAGAGCATCCAAAATGAAAATAAATAAGGAAACATAACTTTAAATGACATATTAAACAAGATGGACTTAAGTGGTATATATAGGACATTCCATCCCAAAACAACAGAATACAATTTCCTCTCAAGTGCTCATGGAACTTTCCCTAGGATAGATCATATCTTGGGTCACAAATCAAGTCTTGGTAAATTTAAGAATATTGAAATTGTATCAAGTATCTTTTCTGACCACAATGCTATAAGACTAGATATCAATTACAGGAAAAAATCTGTAAAAAATACAAACACATGGGGGCTAAACAATATACAACTAACCAAGAGATCACTGAAGAAATCTAAGAGGAAATCAAAAAATGCCTAGAAACAAATGACAAAACACGACAACCCAAAACCTATGGGATGCAGCAAAAGCAGTTCTAAGAGGGAAGTTTATACCAATACAATCCTACCTCAAGAAACAAGAAATATCTCAAATAAACAACCTAACCTTACACCTAAAGCAATCAGAGAAAGAAGAACAAAAAAACCCCGAAGTTAGCAGAAGGAAAGAAATCATAAAGATCAGACCAGAAATAAATGAAAAAGAAATGAAGGAAACGATAGCAAAGATCAATAAAACTAAAAGCTGGTTCTTTGAGCAAAGATAAACAAAATTGATAAACCATTAGCCAGACTCATCAAGAAAAAAAGGGAGAAGACTCAAATCAATAGAATTAGAAATGAAAAAGGAGAAGTAACAACTGACACTGTAGAAATACAAAGGATCATGAGACATTACTACAAGCAACTATATGCCAATAAAATGGACAACCTGGAAGAATTGGACAAATTCTTAGAAAAGCACAACCTTCCGACACTGAACCAGGAAGAAATAGAAAATATGAACAGACCAATCAGAAGCACTGAAATTGAAACTGTGATTTAAAATCTTCCAACAGGGCTTCCCTGGTGGCGCAGTGGTTGAGAGTCAGCCTGCCGATGCAGGGGACACGGGTTCGTGCCCTGGTCCGGGAAGATCCCACATGCCACAGAGCGGCTGGGCCTGTGAGCC